ATGAAAAGGGGAGTTTCTCCGGGTCTGAACCAATCATGTTCTGAATTAGAACCAAGTATCAACCAACTGCAGCGTCGTAGCAGACAGCAGCTCCACCCAACCATAGCACTTTAACAGGTGAAGCCGACAGCACTGTTGGTGAGAAACAAAGAAAATGAGTGCTACCCCCGACAGAAATGACCATGAAGGCTCAACAGATGACCACATCAATGTCAACCACAACACTGGCGTTAGGAAAACGTCGGTGGTGTGGAGGTATTTTGGTTTTTGGAGGTCGGACATGAAGCAGAGTAATGTGGACTGTAAATTATGTCGAGTACATGTTCTCACAAAGTCGGGGAATACCTCAAATCTTTTTCACCACCTGAAGCAGCGCCACGCCGCAGAGCACGCGCAACGCAAAAGGTTACAAACCCCGAGAGGAGCGAGGAGCCGAAACAGACGACCATTCAGTCGGCTTTCTCTAGAACAACGCCTTACGACAAAAGACATGAGACCAATAAACACTGTTACATTTCAGTTTTATATCCTGATATTGATCGATATCAGCTGATATGAAAATAATACATATCATGATAAACTTTCTCACATACCGCCCAGCCCTTCAAACAGTTTTATTTTTCAGCAAATGTCAGTAAAATATAAATGTGTATCTTTAATTTCAGCCCCATGGACAGCTCAGCGTGTTTCTGTTCTAAGTCGTGTTAAAGTCGTGAGTCTGAAAAAACCGAGTTCTCCGCAGAGGTCTGAGAAAGCTCTCTCCTTTCAGACCTCCTCAGAAACCTCCTGACAGATGAATCCGTCTTCATTGGGCTGGAAAAGCCGCATCAGATGCATCCTTCGAGGCCCCACCTATCCCATGATTCTTTGCTCACTCATACAGTCGGATAGTAAACTCTCAAACTGCTGAGTAACTCTGTGAAGTAGAAGTTTGTACAGAAATCATAAAAGACGAACGCACTGAACCTGGTGATGACGGACAGGTTATTATGAGACATGCAGGTTAGCCAAGTAGTCAGCAGTTGCTAAGTGACAAGAGCAGCTCCACATGACGCCATCATTAACGTAATGACACAAATATACAGTCTCAGTTCAGTTTAGCCTGACCCTCTACGCAGACGACACGTCGATGTAGACAGATTTATAAATCTGGTCTTTCAGAACCGCGGACAGCTCTGAGACTTTCCCTGGAAGTCCAAACGGCGGAGTCAGGGCGCCGATATTTCAGAGATCTGAGTCACAGGCTTTAACACACCTTAGTCAGACGAAGAATCAATGAGTCAGACAGAGCAGACGAACAACTGAACACCGAGTGTTCACTCTCTCTGCTGCTGAGAGGTGAGGAGGAGGAGGAGGACGGCAGGTGAAAGAAGGGGGAGGAGGCATCTGAGTCAGTTAGCTACAGGAGGAGAGGAGGCATCCCCGAACCAAAATACATTTACGATAAAAAACAGGAAAAAAGAGAAAGAGTCAAACCAACGTGGGCTGCGTGATTGTGGACGATAAAAAGACAGCCTACCAGAATATCAAATAAACACTCATGACTCTAACAAGACGACTGAGCAAAGACATCCATCTCATCACACCCTTACTCAGCGTTTACACTCCACCGAGAAATATCATGACCCAGATGACTCAGACTCCAGTCACAGATTTGATGACTTTGGACTCAACTGGACAATATCAGGAAGGACTGGGAACCTGACTAAATAAAACACCACTGATTCTGGACGTATTTCCCTGAATCACCCGAGACTAAAGGAACGACTTTAACTTCCAGAATCCACCTGATCAGACTCGTATAACAGCGTCCCATCAAGTTTCAGAGCAAACAAAGACGTGGATAAGCGTTAAATACACAGCTGACTTCACTCAACATCCAACAAACTGCCACTTACTAAAGTTCTCGGACGACTCCGCCATCGTCGGTCTCATCACTAATGGAGACGAGAGGGAGTACCGAGAACTGAACCACAGCTTTGCGGCCTGGTTCCAGCAGAACTTCCTCTTGATTAATGCTGGAAATACTGAAGAGCTTGTTGTGGACTTTCACAGGCGCAAAGTCAACCCCTCTCCAGTGAACATCCAGGGAACGGAAATAGAGATGGTGGTGGTGGTCGTCTATGTTTTCTTTTGCTTCATCCTGGTCGGGGTCGCGGGGGCAGCAGCTTCAGGAGGGAAGCCCAGACGGCCCTCACCCCAGCGACTTCCACCAGCTCCTCCTTTGGGGGGATTCCCAGGAGCTCCCAGGCCAGGCGAGAGATATAACCTGGTCCTGGGCCGACCACGAGGTCTCCTCCTGGTGGGACATGTCTGGAACACCTCTAACAGGAGGCGTCCAGAAGGCGTCCTAACCAGAAGCCACCTCAGCTGACTCCTCTGGACGTGGAGGAGCAGCGGTTCTCCTCTGAGCTCCTCCCGAGTGTCCGAGCTCCTTACCCTATCTCTAAGGCTGAGCCCGGACACCCTGAGGAGGAAACCCATTTCAGCCGCTTGTATCTGCGATCTTGTTCTTTCGGTCATTACCCAAAGTTCATGACCATAGGTGAGGATCGGCACGTAGATCGACCGCTAAATCCAGAGTCTCTCCTTACGGCTCAGCTCTTTCTTCACCACCACTGATCGGTTAAGCGTCTGCATCACTGCTGATGCCGCTCCGATCCGCCTGTCGATCTCCTGTTCCATCCTACCCTCACTCGTGAACAAGATCCCGAGATCCCTGAACTCCTCCACTTGAGGCAGGACCGCCCCTCCGACCTGGAGAAGGCGATCTACCTTTTTCCGAGAGATGGTGGACTCTTACAGATACCTGGGTGTTCACCTTAACAAGAACCTGGACTGGACTGATAACACTACGGCGCTTTGTAAGAAAGGCCAAAGCAGACGCCACCTGCTGCGCAGACTGAGGGAAGGACTCGTAAGGACCTGTTATGACTCTGTGGTGGCGTGGTCGCAGCGGAGAAGAAGAGACGGGATAAGCTGTTGAAAAAAGTCCTGGGGTGCAGGAGGCAGCGGGTGACAGAAGGATGGTGGCAAAGCTGACATCAATCCTGTACAATGTCTCCCACCTTCTACACGAGTCTGTAAGAGTCCTAGAGAGCTCCTCCAGCGACCGGCGCCGACACCCGCGATGCATCACAGAGAGGCAACACAGGTCCTTCCTCCCTGCTGCTATCAGACTCTACAACCAGACCTTCTCCTCGCAGACTAACACCAACAACAACAATAACAGTGTAAAACTACACCCCTAACTATTTATCAATCATGTGTAATATCATCATCATCATCATCATCATCATCACATCCACACCTGTTTTTTATTGGCACTGATCTTTCTTCTCTTTTATATTTTTCTCAGACTTGTCTTTAATACTGTTCTTCCCCTCTTTCCTTATTGCGTATGTTGTGTGGACTGCTGCTGTTAATGACTTCATTTCCCCACTGAGGGATGAATAAAAGAAAATCTAATCTAATCTATTTCTGAACATTAAAGCTAATGACTGAATAACAGCTGATTCCTGGACTTGTTTTCCCCTCAGGCAAAACAGCTCCAAGAACCTCCAGCAAAGTCCATTTTCCCTTTTCAACCATGAATTGGATAACCATGACTCGGATGAATACACATAAAGTAAAGCCTGTTTAATATTCTGAGTTAAATGAACATAATAAAAACAGCTGTTTGAAGACTAAAGCGCCCACAGAGGTAGAGACAAAGCCGGGCTCCCTCTCGGCTCACAGAGGAGGGTCTTTAAATACTGCAGAGCTGATGTGTAAAGACTCAGAGGTTAATGGAGCGTTCACTTCCCGTCAGTCAGTGTCACTCTCCTGCTGCAGGTTCAACTGTGAAAGTGTCCAGAACAATCTACAGCTGTGCGTTTTAATGTTATGGATATCGAGCGCCCCCTGCTGTTAGCAAACGGCTAAGACTCAATAGAATTAGAAGAAATCTCACTAAAACATTTAATATTTGAATATCAGCGTTTTAATCCCACATAATCAAATAAACTTAAAAGATTTCAGAAAAATTAAACTGGATTTTATTTCAAACTCTGAAATCTTTGAATAAATCAAACCTGTCAGTGAACTGCGCTGATGTTTGTGTTTCTAACATTTAATAGAGAAATGATTCAAGGGTTAAAGAAAACTTTATCATCCCTGCGAAGAGCAACCAGCAATAAAAAACAGGAAAAATAATAAAAATATCCACCCAAACAGAGAATAAATAAAAACAGGACGGGCAGAAACAAATCAGGTAATTAAGACGCCAACAGCAGCTGAGAAAAATCAGTTTTTCAGTCTCTGAATCGTTTCATAGTTAATTATGAGCCTTCATTAAATTTCACCTTTGACCTGTTTTATTAATAAAAAACACACAATCTGAGGGTGGGGATATCACACACAACTAAACGATATGATAAAATATGTTGATATATGTTTTTTGTGTTTTTATTTCATTTATTTTATTTCATTTTAAATGTTTTTTTACCTGCTTTCATTTATCTCCTCCTGATGTTTTCTGCCGTGTTTGTTCTTTTAATTTTATTGTGCACCACTTTGGTTAACTTGAACATTTTTTAAAAATGTGATATAGAAATAAATATGAGAACCAAATTCGATGATAGAGAATTGTTTTTAATTTACAGCTGATTTAAGACACGAGTCAAAACTGACCTGTTAACATGGTGGGTGTTTAGTAAAAGCTAACACAGGAGGAAGGTTAAACATTTTTTCTTACTTTTCTTGTTTTATTTTTTATATCTTTGGTTTGCATGTTTGAAATAAACTTCAACCAATCAAAAAAACTTTGTAGTTTGTTTGTTTATTTGTTAGCTCATTGGAATGTTATTTTTACTTAAAATTCAGGCTTTATTTTTGGAATAAAATGTCTAAAAATGTGACATTTGAAGTATATCGATTTGTCAAGGTTTCTTCTTTTTTTTGACCAAAAAATAGGATAAAATTATTTTCTGGTTTTGAGTTCAGACTGAAAACAGTCAGAGATGTTTGAGACCACAAAAAAGGTCCGTGAACCAGCCTGGAAAACAGAAACTACCAAACAGATTTAAACTGTTAAAAGGTGTCTAAAGGGCTGATCTGTTTCTGTTTTTGTGATTTTTTAAACTTTTTCATGAATTAATTCAAACTTTGACTGACGGAACAAAAAAACCTTGTGGATATTTTCTCACCGTTTCGAGTTTCACGGACGAAGAAGACATCAGATCAGACATCTGATCCCTCAGCGTGACAAGACATGAACCCACGGACATCCAAACAGGACAAACGAACAGCGTCTAACATCCGAACCCAAACTGTTTCATTTCAGAACCAGAACCGGCTAAAGCGGAACTATGTGTACGAACAGTCTAAGTAGCCGGACTGTATAAAGCGAGGGACCACTTACCAGCGCTTTTTTTTTTTTTTTTTTTTTTTTTTTTTTTTTTGTTCAAACAAACAGAATTCATAATATTTAAAGGCACCAAAGTCACGTTACTCCTAGTTTAATAAAAAAAAACAAATTTTCGTGTTTTTATTTAATTTTTTTATTTTTACATCTTTAAAGAAAACCCGCTCTGCCACTAACCCGGAAGAGAAAGAAGGCAACCAATCAGCTGCACGGATTGTTGCCATGCGCAGTAGAGTCGGTGATGGTGGTATGGCGTCTGAAGGTGAATGAAAATTCTAACATGTTCATCGATTAACCGGATTATTAATCCACGAATTTAACTTTTTACAGCTGATTTAAGTGAAGAATCGAGACTTTTTAAACCCGAGTTTAACTGAGAGACAGTCTGAGGTGAGTAAAATCAGGTTATTAATCATCGATCAAGACAAAATAATAGATTAACTGGAGACAAAGATGAGATTTTTAACTCATGTTACTGACTACTATCATTAATTTATTGACTTTTATAACATTAAAATGATTAAAATCTTTGTGTTTTGATTCGTAGTTGTTTCAGATACTGAGCAGAACTTTAACTTAATAATTAAATAAAATAGAATTGTATTTAATTTCAGTCTGAATCCTGATACAGTGGGTTAAAAATAGTATTTGACAGACACTGATTCTGTAAATTGTCCCACATTAAAAAAATGAGAGAGGTCTGTGATGTTCATTATAAACTTCAACTGTGAGAGACAGAAGGTAAAAAAATAAAAACAGGAAATCGTTTTGTTTGATTTGTTAATCATTTTTGTTTAATGGTGTAGAAAATAAGTTTTTGATCAATAACAAAATTTCACCACAATACTTTATAATGGGGCCCGACCGATATGGATTTTATTTAAGGTTTAATACAGTATTTAATTATCAGGTCTGAGTCTAAACCGGTGATGGTCATTATGATCCTAAAGTCTGAAATCCTCTCTCCTCTCTGCTCAGCGGTCATGGCCGGTCTGTCGAACTACGCCCTGCGGATGGCCCGGCTGAGCGCTCAGATCTTCGGGGAGGTCGTTCGTCCCACAGACTCGAAATCCATGAAGGTGGTCCAGCTGTTCAGAGAGCAGCCCATGGCTAAGAGGAAGGAGGTCTTCGACTGGTACCCGCAGCACAAGGTCTACTACTCCATGACCCAGAAACTGCGCTTCATGGGACTCTTCAGGTACTCAGAGAACCGGACCGTCCTGATTCACACAGTTATCCTGGAGATCCTGTTCCCCTGTAGCTGCTTCAAGAACCTCAACATAGATGATTTATGCAGGAGGTGTTCAGTCTCCTTATTGGTTAAAAACGTAGTGTGGCGTGATCTGCTGAGGACGTCTCTTTGTGCTCCTCGGCCATAAATCTTATCCTGTTGGAAAACCTCTTTACTCACGTCGACAGTAAAACAAACAACAAAAACAAACACTCTGATATCTGAAGGAGACAAAGGTTAAAGCAGCAAAATACAGACGCTTCAGGAGGTTCTTTCTTTAAACAGATTCACAGATGAATCATAAATCCAGAGTTTTTGTTTTTAGCTGGTGTGAAAAGAGTTCTGAGCCCCCCAGAGTGATGTTTAAAGATTTATAACCAGGACTTTAACAAGGATGTTTACCATTTGAAGACATTTCCATAAAATCCTGGTCTTCGTCTTTCTGCGCTCATGACTCTGCTGTTTTTACTTCCAGAGACGAACACGAGGACTTCAAGGAGGAGATGCTTCGTCTGAGGAAACTGAGAGGGAAAGGGAAACCGAAGAAAGGAGAAGGAAAGAGAGCGACCAAGAGGAAGTGATGAACAGTCCTCCTTCATCTTCATCTTCATCTTCACTTTAGTTGGACTTTTTCAGGCGATGGTCTTTGGACACTGAGAGGAGACAGTCGATCCTGGAAGAATGAAAACCGTCGGACCCGCTGAACAGTTTCCTCTCTCAGCTCCTCTGGAAACTTTCTGTGTTTCTAATAAAGTTTCTTCACTTTCCTGTTGAAGTGGGATTAAAATCTGACATTTTAATCTGAGTGAAGTGAAAGATTATCATTTATGATCAGCTCAGTCTGCTTCAGAGAGCGTGTCAGCCGAGAGAGAGAAAGGATGTAAAGACACAGAAATGTTCTTTCAAAATAAAACCTGTTGTTGAGTGCATTAAAAGGTTTTACTGTCTGCTGTTCAACAACACAATAAACAACACGGTAAACATCTTTGTGCATGGAAGGTTATTTATTGACACATTCAACCTGCGGTACAGAAGAAAACATCAGCTGGAATTAAACAATATTAAAAAAGGTTAAATAAAAGGTCCAAAAAGAGGAAAAGTCAGAATATATTCTGATATCAAAACCAGCTTTACTGTCCGAGTTTGTGAACATATCTGATAACTAACATATGATAACTAGACACTAAAGTTTAATGTACAAGACAGGAGTGTGACGATGAAGAGAGGCTGTGATAAAAACATTAAAATCACCCACAGAGTGTTTGATGCTCAGGTGAACACAGGAGTAAACAGAGGTTTATGTATCTATATTTAACTTTAATGTGCTGAATCAAACTGCATCTGATTTTTTCGTTTTAACATCTAGAAAATTTACATCTGTAATCACTCACACAGATGATAACCGTTCAGTAGGTTTACACTGAGATGAACATGATTTAACTTCACTTTATTTAACGGCAGAATTTAACACACAGAAATATTTCAGCTATAAAGACAGAAAACAAGAATAAACATCAGAAAGTACAAAGAACGACGCTGCAGGACGACAGAGTTTGAAGAAACGCTGTTCCTGAATTTAAAGAGTCAACAGGAAATTTATGTATCTGTGAGTCAAAAAGACAAGAAAGGAAAATTAAACCCGTGCAGAAGGAGTTGAAGAAGAAGATCAGAGAGGGAAAGGCCAGCTACAAGACCAAGATGGAAAACCTTTTGCAACAGAACAACGCAAGGGAGGTCTGGAGAGGCCTGAAATCCATCTCAGGTCATAGCAGGGGCCATGAGAGGGGATCTGAAGCAGGAGACAGGGAGTGGGCCAACGAGCTGAATCTGTTCTTTAATAGATTTGACTCTGCTCCCACTCCTCCCCCGACTCATCAAACCAAAGACCCATCTGCTGCTCCTTCTTCTTATTCACTCCACCTCAGTCCCATGGCACCAACACCATCAACCCCCCTCCACTCATCCTCCACCACCCCCTCCAGCACCACCCCCAGCCTCTCCATAACAGCTGACCAGGTGAGAAGTGAGCTGAGGAAGATGAAGCCAAGGAAAGCCACGGGTCCTGATGGCATCAGCCCCAGACTCCTGAAAGACTGTGCAGACCAGCTCTGTGAGGTGCTACTGCACATCTTCAGCTTGAGCCTGAGTCTGGAGAGGGTCCCAACACTGTGGAAGACTTCCTGCGTGATTCCTGTCCCCAAGACAGCGCACCCCAGGGAGCCCAACCACTTCAGACCTGTGGCCCTCACTTCTCACTTGATGAAGACTCTGGAGAGGATCGTGCTGAGGAACCTCCGCCCCCTGGTGAGCTCTCATCTGGATCCTCTGCAGTTTGCGTACCAGCCAAACATCGGGGTGGATGACGCAGTCATCTACCTGCTGCAGAGGTCCATGGCTCACCTGGAGAACACTGGCAGCACTGTGAGGGTCATGTTTTTTGACTTCTCCAGTGCGTTCAACACCATCCAGCCTTCACTGCTCAGGGGGAAGCTCGAGCGGGCGGGAGTGGACTGTCACCTAGCCGCATGGACCGTGGACTACCTCACCGACAGACCACAGTTTGTGAGGCTTCAGAACTGTGTATCGGACATGGTGGTCTGCAGCACGGGGGCTCCACAGGGGACAGTGCTCTCCCCTTCCTCTTCACCCTGTACACCTCTGACTTCAGCTACAACTCTGGGAGCTGTCACCTTCAGAAGTTCTCTGATGACACAGCCATCGTCGGATGTGTATCGTCAGGGGATGAGCGGGAATACAGGACTGTCATCACTGACTTTGTCAACTGGTGTGGCACAAACCACCTCCAGCTCAACGCCAGTAAGACAAAGGAGATGGTTGTGGATTTCCGCAGGAGGGGGACACCTCAAACAGTTCCAGTGAACATCCAGGGTCTGGACATCGAGATGGTGGAGTCCTATAGATTCCTGGGTGTCCACCTCAACAACAAACTGGACTGGTCAACAAACACAGACGTTCTGTACAAGAAGGGCCAAAGTCGTCTCCACCTGCTGAGGAGACTGAGGTCTTTTGGAGTGTGCAGGACTCTGCTCAGGACTTTCTATGACTCTGTGGTAGCATCTGCACTTTTCTATGCAGTGGTCTGCTGGGGGGCAGGGAGCACCGAGAGGGACAGGAAGAGACTGAATAGACTGGTCAGGAGGGCCGGTTCTGTCCTGGACTGCTCTTTGGACTCCCTGGAGGAGGTGGGTGAGAGGAGGATGTTAACAAAGCTTGTATCCATCATGGACAATCCCTCTCACCCACTGCACCAGACTGTGGGGGCTTTAGGCAGCTCCTTCAGCAGCAGACTGAGACTCCCACCCTGCAGGACGGAGCGCTACCGCAGATCATTCCTCCCCTCTGCAATAAGACTTTACAATGAACAGTAACAAAACTGATTTTACACCACCACTTTTCTTATGGCATTTAAATTGTGTATATTGTAGAAAGCTTTATTTTTTCTTCTCCCTTTTCTAATTTTTTTCTTAATTATTGCATTTATTTAAGTTCTTAATATTAGGACCCTTATGGTTATAACTGCATTTTTGCACTTTTTGTCTTGTCTGTGATGCTGCTGTGACAAAAAAATTTCCCCCATGGGGGATCAATAAAGGAATATTCTATTCTATTCTATTCTATTAAACAAGTTTTCAGTCAAATTTAAGTCACTTTGAAAGGTAAAAAAATCCCAACGAAATCAATGGATTTGATTTCTTTAACCTGAATAATCTAAATAAAACAGATCACATACATTTACGTTCCCAACCTGTCTTCTGATTATTGATTACGGTGATGTGTTTTACATGAACACCTCTGTTCACTGCCTCCACATGCTGGATCGTGTTTATCGTGGTGCTCTGAGGTTGAGCTCCAACTCATCATTGTGTCTTATACAGTAAAGTCAACTGGACATCTTTATATTATTGGTACGTGTTGATTTATAAGGCTATTCTTCAGACGACTCCATCTTATTTATCATCCCTGTTAATCTTGAATAATAGGATCTACAGTCTCCCTGGACTTTTGTCATTTTACTGTTCCTAAGGTCAGAACAGAAACGAATAAGAGAGTTTTGAGATTTTCTGCTCCGAGTAAAAATCAGACCTGAAACTCTTACAGTCTGGTATCTCTGAATGTTTTCAAATCCATCATAAATCCCATTACATCCAGGCTGCAGGAGTAAAAATGTTTGACTAATCCAGTAAATTTTTTTAACTAATTTTTGAAAATTCAATAATTCTTTGTATTCTATATGATCAATGTTATTATGAAACTGTATGTGCGGACATTCTTGGCTAAGTCTCTCTTGCAAAAGAGATCTTGGATCTCAATGGGACAAACCTGGTTAAATAATAATAATAATAATAATAATAATAAACTGAAAATGAGGTAACACTTTACAATAACCATAATTTTTAAATGGTAAATAGATAGTTTATTATTATTTAATCATCATTTAAAAACATCATATAAACCAAATGGCAAATTGTTAGTTTATTAATGTAAGTTAATAGTTACTTTACCATAACAAGCAATGAAACTATGATTAATAATTGTCATTAATTATTAATGGACTATTCTTTAAAGGTTTATAAAGGGTTTAAATTTTGGTTGTAAAACATCTAGATTAAAATATGTGTCAGTAGCACTTTGTAAATGATTAATATTTAGTTTTTAAACCATCTATAAGCATTACTTAGATGTTATTGTAAAGATAGGGTTAGGTTTTTAAAATTGTAAAACTTAGAAATGTATCAATGGTCTATATGCTATTTATAAACAATGATTAAACATCAATAAACTACCTGCTTACCGTTTATAAATGGTCTATTTACCATTTAAAAGTTGTGGTTATTGTAAAGTGTTACCGAAAATGATTAAAAATGTACTTCAGTGGGATTATCTGGATTTAAAAACAGTTAAATATATAATTAGATCATTTTTTAGGTAAAATTATTTAATAAAACTCGAATATATCACTAAATATGATCCTAACAGTGTGGATTATGACTGTAGTGTCCTGTCTCTCTGTCGCCCCCTGCAGGCCTCTATCTGCCTGTCTCTCCGCTCTCTGTCGCCCCCTGCCGGCCGCTGCCTGTCTCTGCACGCTCCTCTATTATTTTCCACTCAGTTTCTCGCAGTTTAAAATGGCGGCGTTGAGCAGCGCCGAGTCTCCACCGCCCGTCTTTAACGGAGACACCGCGGAGCGGGATCCGGGCAGGGAGCAGGGCCTGGAGGAGCTTGGCGCCGGGCTCGACGCGTCCTGCACGGCGGGGATCCCCGGGGGTCCGCAGGATGAGGAGGTAAGCGCTCCGGCGGCGGGGAGCGGGGCTAAGCTGAGCAGCGGACCCGGGCTAGGAGCGGAGGTAATTGGATGTAAACGTTCAGGAAACACCGGCCGGAGCCCGGATCAAGGGGGGAGGCAGCGCGGGGGGGAGAACGGTGCATGAAGGGGTAACGGTTAATCTGAGCTGGGGGTGAGGGAGGGGGGAGTCAGAGAACCGGAGCGGGCGGGAGGGAGGGGAGCGTTTATCCGGGGGAGCGATGCTTGTTTCGGGCCTGCTTCAGTCCTCCGCTCCTGCTCCCGTAGTCCAGCAGAGAGACCCACTGCAGCTGCAGCACACACACACACACACACACACACACACACACGGCAGTGTTGACGCATACACACTTTCGGTTGTGTGTGCGTGCGTGTGTGTGTGTGTGTGTTATTGTGTGTGTGTTATTGTGTGTGTGTGTGTGTGTGTGTAGCGGATTGTAACGTGCTCTCCTCACAGGGAGGTGAGGATGAGGATGGAGGAGGAGGAGGAAGCGAACTCAGTCGTGCCTGTGTGATGTTCAGGTGTGTTAGGACACACAGGTTAGCTTCAGGAACACAGGACACACACACACACACACACACACACACACACACACACACTGAGCAGGTATCCTGGTGTGATGCGGGTCACAGGCCTCTCTGATGGTCCAGGACTTCAGCTCCTGCAGGACTCTGTCAGACCCAAACACGAAGATCATCTGATTTAGGACTCTGTTTAAACCCTGAAAAATCACATTAAAGGGATATTCAGGCGTCAAATTAATTTAGGGTCAAACACACAGAGTTAGAAAGAAAGAAAGAAAATTCTAGATATTCTAGGTTATTGTGACAATGAGCCCGATGCATACGGGCCGATCTACTCAGTCTAACTCTATTCTATGTGCCATGAGTGACATTGACAAGTACAACACACCGAGCGGTTGCCCACGTTGTTTTCAAAATCTATCTAGCGAAGGGGTCTGCTATCTTGAACTTTATCACAGGACCTCAGCCTACAGGTTCGATGGCCACTAGCAGTACCTGCGCAGTAAAGGTCCCGAGGGGCGGCGGTAAAACTTCAGGTTATGACAAAAGGTAATCCAGCGCAGTGTTTCTGTATCGGAATTGGATCAGTATTGGCCGATACTAAACTGTAGATATTTGCATCTCTATCGGAGGTGAAAAAAGCTGATCGGTGCATCCCTATGATCATAAATGTTCTTCCTTAAGCTGTGTCACCCCGCTGTAGTCTGTAATGGACTGGCCTGAGGTCTCGATACAAACAAGCGTCTGCTGGAAGAGAGTAGGTGAGTTGTGTTTAGTCTCTTTGCTAAAGAAATGAGTCAAAGTTAAAAAGATGTTTGGTGTCTAGTACTATGTCTGTGACCCTATATGTACTAACCTCAGTAGAACATGGTGTAGTTCCGTTCAGTAACAGAACCTCATTGGAAAATGAGCTGATTTAACTTTACTGTGCTCTTGTTCAAATATATTAACTCGACAGCGCATAAATCCATACCTGTTAACAAAATCATGATTTTATTGATAATTCGGCTCAATAAAAACACCTCATGGAGAAGGATTCAGGTACGAGACAAACAGAAGAAACATGTTCCTGCAGAAGTTAACACCATCAAACCTCAGGACAGTCCTGTGATTTTACAGACTTTTTTTTTTGGCAATTTTGCCAAGTTTTTGTAGGATAGGGTGAAATGTGGGGAGATAGAGAGTGGAGGACACGCAGGGCATGGTCGGGGCCGGACTTGAACCCATGGCCGCTGCGGGTACCGTGGTCACCAAGCATGTGGAGTGCTAACCTGCTTAGCAATCTGCGTGCCTAACATTTCAGAGATTTTTAAGTTCGTATTCATGGTTAGATCTCAAACTCTAAAACAGTCTCCAAAATAGAATAGAATACAACAGAAAAACAGAATAGAAGCTCTTTATCCTGCTACAATCAAACTATAAAAATCATCGTCGGTGTTTCCGTGTGACCCGGTATCTTCACCTTCTACAGATCTTCTTCCTGTCTGATGACGCCAAAATATTTGTGCAGCGTTCTTTGAGTTTGATGGTCATGTGACCAATACAAACATGTTACACACACAAACACAGAGTCAGATCAGCTGATGAGTGTAAACAGTCAGAGGTTGGAACGTTTACAGACACACGAGCAGACTGTGAGTTCAGGTATCAGTCTTTGGTTCGGTTCTGTTGTTGTTTGGTTCTGTCCGTCTCTTGGTTCTTGTTAAAAATAAACTTGATTTTACTCCGACGTGTTTTCTCTCAGTCTGAACGAGTTTTTAAAGAGGTCACTCAAAAACTCATCAGCTGATCTACAGAGAGCAGGAAGGGTCAAACGAGCTCAGAGAAGAAACCGGACAGTCCTGGTCTACACCTGATCCAGCCTCAGGTTTTTATGTGACCCTAGTCTGTGACGGAGGAGGACTTCCTCTTGGTCTCCTGAGATCTTTGAAAACCTGAACGTTTCAGCTCATGGAGCTCAGGTCTGAAGGTCAGGACTGAAGAGTTCACCTTGAGAACTAAATCTCTGTGGACTGACCAACAGATGATCCGGGAAGTTCAACAAGAACTCCAGAGTTTCTCAGTCCGACCAGTTCCTGCACAGGAACAGGAACTTCATTTAGACCCTGTTCGTGGATTTCAGGTAAAGTTCCTGAGGTTGAACTGTTGATCCAGAGTCTTGGTTCTGTATCAGCTCTTCAGACTTTGGTCTGTCTCTGGAGGATTTGATGTGATGGTTCCAGGATCTCTTGGTATCAGAAGATAGATTCAGTCAAACCTCAAACCGGCTCAAGTCCAAGTCTGAGACCATGAATCCTGCTGTCTAAGGGGAACTCTGGGCCAGACATGGACCGGGTTCAGGGTTCAGGGTTCAGGGTTCAGGGTCATCAGCTGTTCGTCATGGTGCTAGTTTTGCACGAAGTGGATGGGGGCGGAGCTTGTGTGGTTGCCTAGGTACAGCTTTGATTCAGTCAGGTTAGGCTAAGTTAGCTGACAGCTGCCTGTAGAGGGTTCTGAGGTTCTGATGCTCCAGCACCGTGGACGGTACCGGGTTCTTCACTTGTTTAGAACAGATGGCTGTTCTGCACATGTGCAGTAGCGTTTATTTAAGTACTAATGTAAAAGTGTAATTTTACCCAGATACCCAGGAATAATCGATCACTTGATCACACAATAAACGAGTTTTTGAGGTCTCATGGACCTGTTTGAACGTGTTTCTGGTTCTGATAGCGGGCTGGACTCGGCATCCTCCGATCTCCAGACTTTGGTTCTTCTCTGGATGGTTCAGGATCTCCCAGGATTTAAAGGGACAGATGAAGAAACTGGAGGATTTAAAATGGTCCTTAAAGGGAAACCAAACAATTGTTTTCTTGTTTTTGTGTCTCTGATAGTTCGATGAGTTCTGGTCTGTCATTTATGACCCTCTAAAATGTCTCTGGATGTCTCATAAACCTCGTGTCCCAGGTCAGATTGTGGGATATTCCCTCATTTTTGCTTTGGTCCAGTAGAGGATTTCTCCAGAACCAGCAGACATACGCTTCTTCATGGATGTGATAAAGATGGAGACAGGATGCTGCTGACACAGATGAACTTTGAGGGCTCGACAGTGCGACTGTTTCACTCACATTTGTGACTAAAAATAGATTTGTGCAAATTTTAAAATGTAAAAAAATCAGCCGAGGTAACAAATATATTTTCCTGTAAATACGGCGGTGAAGTTAGTTTCAGGTTGGATATATTTTCCTGTAAATACGGCGGTGAAGTTAGTTTTAGGTTGGATATATTTTCCTGTAAATACGGCGGTGAAGTTAGTTTCAGGTTGGATATATTTTCCTGTAAATACGGCGGTGAAGTTAGTTTCAGGTTGGATATATTTTCCTGTAAATACGGCGGTGAAGTTAGTTTTAGGTTGGATATATTTTCCTGTAAATACGGCGGTGAAGTTAGTTTTAGGTTGGATATATTTTCCTGTAAATACGGCGGTGAAGTTAGTTTTAGGTTGGATATATTTTCCTGTAAATACGGCGGTGAAGTTAGTTTCAGGTTGGATATCTGACGGACATTCTCTGAGGATCTACCGGTGTCTTCTCACTCTCCATAACCGGGAATAACAACAGCAGCGCGGTTAAATCTACTCGACACCCTCACTGTCAACGTCGGTGTTGAACAAGGGACCGTCAATAAATTACCGGTTGATGTTCTCAGAAAAGGCTGTTTTCCTTCAATAGCTTCACTGTCATGTGACCAAAAGACCTAAAATTGACTTCTAATAATCGTACTAATATTCTCATTGTGCCCTTAAAGTTCTTTGTGTGTTCCTTACTTTTTTAACTTCGGAGCTCATGTGCCCTTAAGCTGAAAAAGTGTCTAAAATTATTAAATAATCAAAAAAATTAAAAAGACAGTCCCTTTCTCACTGTGAACCCAGGTTCCTCCTCTGTGTCAATGGTCTAGTTGGTCCTCACAGATCCACTCGGCTGTTTATTTTGAAGCTTCAGGAGATTTTGGGTCAAACTTTCTCTGTTTTCCAAATATCAGTGGAAGAGTGCGCCGTGGTTTCTTCGGTTTAGTTGCAGGTCGAGTCCTTTCTGCTTCAGTCTGCATCTTTAAGAGAAAAAAACACGTTTGAGTCACGTTAGCGAGCTGAAGGCTGATAACAAAACAACCAACATCGTCGTGAAGGTCAGGGTGCCGGTGTCGTACTTAGCGGCAGTAAAACGTCGGATAGGAAGCGGGGTCGCAGTGAGGGCTCTCCTGACTGCTGGGTCGGCTTCGCTGCTTGCAGAGTGCGCTCGGCGGGCGCTGCAGGCACGCGCACCGTAGTATCGATACCATGGCAAATTAGTATCATATCCAGATATCCGGTGTGTAAGTATCGATACTTTAGACAACCCTGGTCAGCTGTGAACCGGACCGTCTGTTTTTTCCCCGCACAGATCTGGAACATCAAACAGATGATCAAGCTGACCCAGGAACACCTGGAGGCTCTTCTGGACAAGTTTGGAGGAGAGCACAACCCTCCCTCCATCTACCTGGAGGTAGGACGGTTCGATTTTCTGTTTTTTAGAGTTTGATGAGTGTGAAGGTTCGAGAGGATGGCGCTCTGACTCCCTCTGCTCCTCCTCCTCCTCCTCTCCATCAGGCGTATGAGGAGTACACTAGTAAACTGGACGCTCTGCAGCAGAGGGAGCAGCAGCTGCTGGAGGCCATGGGGAACGGCACCGACTTCCTCTGCTCCCCGTCCCCTGTCCCCGCTCTGCTGGAGGTCAAGATGGGGGGCTGTGGGGTCGGAGGGGGGGCTCAGGCTTTCCCCTCGGCCCCCAACACCTTAGCTGTCCTCCAGACCCCCACAGACGCCAGCAGGGCCAACCCTCGCTCACCACAGAAGCCCATCGTCCGGGTCTTCCTGCCCAACAAACAGAGGACAGTGGTAGGTCGTTCAGGTGTTTGTTAGAAGCTCCAAAGACCTGAGGAGGTCTACAGAAGAACTGAACTCTGATTGGTCCATCAGTTCATTGACTTTCATTGTGATGCGTTCAGGTACCGGCCCGCTGTGGGATGACGGTGAGAGACTCGCTGAAGAAAGCTCTGATGATGCGGGGACTGATCCCAGAATGCTGTGCGGTTTACAGGATACAGGACGGGTGAGTGTGAACGCTAATCAATGATAATGATAAATTAAAAAATTAATACATAAATAAAAAAGATTAATAATAATTATATTAAAAAGTATTATTATGATAAGTTTATTATTGTTATTGTCAACATAATTGTATTTTTTTAGTTTTATTATGATCATTATGTTTTTTTATTATAACTGTTACTATAATAATTTTATTTTTTCATTACTATTAATATAATTGCTGTAAATAGTTTTATTATTGTACTTATTTTTATTTCTATTATTATTAAAATTATTACTGTTAATAGTTTAAATATTATTATAATTATTACTATTATTACTGTTACTATAATAATAATGATATGTTTTTATTTCTTTTATTATCATTATTATAATGTTTATTACTTTTAAATTTATAATTAATTTAATCTATTTTTCGTTATTATTAATATTATTGCGTTATTAGTTTCATTATTATAATTGTTTTTATTTCTATTATTATTATTATTATTTTTATCATTGAAATAATTACTGTTACTCATGTTATAATTTTTTAATTATTTTTTTTTATTATTACTATTATTATTATTATGTTTATTACTTTTATAATTAATATTACTTTAATTAAAACATTTTTTGTTATTATATTTTTGCTTTTATTAGTTTTTTATTATAATTATCAGAATTATTTTTATTTTATTATTAGACATAATAATTCTGGTGTTTTAAAGTGAAAATCTCTGATCACATAATTCTGGGTTGTTAAAGACCAAAGTCTCTCAGATCAGATCAGATGCAGGTCTTACTTCAGGTCCAGATCTTAGGGGACACGGAGGATTTCACTCTCAGTCAGACTGATGTTCAGTTTTTCTCTGAAGCTGTGGATCCTGATCGTTCTGGATCTGCTGCTGTTCTGGCTCACGGTTCTTGGTTGGATCCCTTTGTGTGGACTTGTTTTGGACGGTTTGAGGCGCAGACAGCTCCACTCACCGCCGTCCTCCTCTCTTTGTTTCAGGGAGAAGAAGCCGATTGGCTGGGACACCGACATCTCCTGGCTGACGGGAGAGGAGCTGCACGTGGAGGTGTTGGAGAACGTGCCGCTCACCACACACAACTTTGTGAGTAATCACCCTCTCACATCCCGACGACGGGGAGCGTTGGACATGTTGGACTGAGTCAGCTGGAGTCGGTCCTGATGCTGCTGCTGCGTGTGGTTTTTTGATTGACAGGTGAGGAAGACCTTCTTCACGCTGGCCTTCTGCGACTTCTGCAGGAAGCTGCTGTTCCAGGGTTTCCGCTGTCAGACCTGCGGCTACAAGTTCCACCAGCGCTGCAGCACCGAGGTCCCGCTCATGTGTGTCAACTACGACCAGCTCGAGTGAGTCCCACCACCCAGGACTGTCAGGGGTTTAGACCGGTCAGAGGACTCAGATAAGAGATTATTGATGGTTCACAAAGACGGATCACAGAAACTACTTTACGATAAACTCAAAACAGCTCGTCAAACCCGGAAGACATTAGCGGCGTTTAGAGATAACGATCTTTTTTTTTATCACAACAATCTGATCAATAATCCTGTTTTCACCGGTATATCAGTGTGGATTTACCATCAAACGTCTCTGATCAAACTCCTGTTTTTGTGGCTGGATTGTAAACCTTGTTGCAGGTGTAGAAATGTCTGGAAACCCTCGATAGATCGCCAAAAGGGTAAACTAATCAACACTTTTTATCCCGTAGAGATACACGGTATAGATCCTGAGAAACTATAAATAATATTCATGGTGTCACGGGGGATCGACGGCGCTCCAGCGGAGTTTGAAGAGTTAACGAGTCTCTGTCTGTCTGTAAATAAATCTTCATCTTGTTTCTTTTGCAGCTTGTTGCTCGTGTCCAAGTTCTTCGAGCATCACCCGTTCACCCAGGAGGAGGTCTCCTCTGAGGGAACCACACCCGTGTCCGAGGCCTGCCCATCACTCCCCCCATCAGACTCCACCGGGTCAGTCCAGCGCCCTCAGACCTTCTTGTCCATTATGAAAGATAATGAAGGACTTTAACGAGTCCTGAAGAGTTTTAACTCAAAGGTTCACCTTGTCCCCCCAGGTCTATATGCCACCCCACTGTGTCCCCGTCCAAGTCCATACCCATACCGCCCAGTTTCCGACCCAACGAGGAGGACCACCGCAACCAGTTTGGCCAACGGGACCGTTCGTCTTCTGCTCCAAATGTCCATATCAACACCATCGAGCCGGTCAACATCGACGTGAGTCTGCGCTCTTCTCTGCAGCTTTACTCAGATTTTCTCTCATGAAACTGATCCTGATCTCTGTCTTTGACCCCGCCCCTCCAGGACCTGATTCGGGATCAGGGCTTGCCCAGGTCCGACGGAGGTAAGGATCAGAGACTTGTGGTTCATTCCTAGGCTTTTTTCCCACCATCCCGCGTCTGCGTGTTCTGGTCTTATGTGTGTGTGTGAAGTTCAGTCAGCTGTGTTTAGTCCTGCACTCAGATCTGGGGGTCCAGGTTTCAGCAGACCTCCTGAACTTTTCTCTGAGCTGCTCCTCCACAGTCTATGTGCAGCTGAACCAAAGGGAGGGATCAGGTTCAAACTGGACCTGGATCTTTGTTAGAAGGACTTTGGTCGTCCAGGAAAATTCAGTTAGAGAAAAAAATGGATCTGAAGATTTTAAAAACTTTTACTTCGACACAGTGAACAGATAAATAATAAAATGAAAATAACAATGTAATAATAATAATAATAATGATAATAATAATAATAATTATTATTATTATTATATTTTATTATTGAAATAATAATTATAATAAAAATAAAGTAATGATAATAACAAACTATTAATAATTATAGTAATAATAATAAATAATAATGATTATAATGATAAAAATAATAATAATTGTGTAATTATAATAGTAATAATAATAATAATTATTATTATTAAATAATAATATATTATCAAGATAATAAATAATTAAAGTAATAATAATAACAAAAATATTTTTTATTATACTAATAATAATTAAAACATATAATAATAATAATAATGATAATAATAATAATAATAATGAATTAATATTTTATTGTTTTTGACTATACTCTGTAATAAAACTCATGAAAGTTTGGGATCTTAAAGCTGAATTTTAAAACAATTTCTTGACCTGAAGTCACACAAAGACCAATTAAAGGGGGTCAGTCTGTAGTTCCCTGTGTGTCCACTAGAAGCCGTCAGAAACCACATACAGTTCGCAGATATTCAGGTGAAGAGATAGGCCCGGCAGGGGGTGTAGGTGGTGAGCGCCATGGAGCAGCTGCAGTAAAAGCTCTTTGTCCACAAGGGGGCGCAAAAACCAACACTAACTCAAAGCTCCTTATTGGAGCTTTAAATTCCAGTACCTGATAAATTCAGACTCTCAGAGTTTGTCTCTCTCCAATTATGTTTGCAGGTGAGACAGATAATAAGTTATATTTTGTTTTTGAACCTCTGAGCTTCATGCTAACCTGACCTGACCTCGCCCTGACCCCGTTTCAGGATTTCAGAGTAAAAATGAGAAAATCTAAAAACAGGAGAAATCGTAGAAATGTGGATCATAGACGGTGCAGCAGGTGTGAGTCTCCATGCGTTAGCTTTAGCCTGGACAGTTAGTTGGAGGTGCGAGGGGCCGGGTGAGTAGCAGTGATGGTCTGTCTGTTTCTCTTTGCCCTGCAGCCCCCCCGAACCACCCCGCCCGCTGCTTGAGGAAGCACCGAACCCGGACCTCAAGCCCCCTCCTATACTCCTACCCCAATGACATAGTCTTTGATTTTGAGCCCGAGCCTGTTTTCCGAGGTAGTTAGGCCTCTGTGTGTTTCTGTGTCCTCCATACACCCCCCACATACACACACACACCCCATCCCTGTGTCACTGTGTGTGTCCTCCTCCTCCTCCACCTCCTCTTTATGTCCTCACATGCCTGACAGAGCTCACTCTCTCACTCTCACTCTCTCTCTCTCTCTTTCTCTGGATGGTGGTTCGAATCATGTCTTTATCTTATTGGATTATTTCTTAGTAAACAAGTTTGAGTTCCTTTAATGACTCGGGTTCACCTGAGAGGGGGATGGACCTGCTAGAACAGCTGACGTTGGTTATCTAGAGCTACAGCTGAATAGATAGTAGATAGATAATAAATCTGTAATCTACACTAGAGTCAGTCAGAGTTAAAACTGACTCAGGTGCGTTAGTTTAATTAGTATTTTCATATTAAAGGGATATTCCGAAGTGAAATTAATTTAGGGTCAAACCCACCATAACACCGAGTCAGACCCCCCCTCCAGAGATGAATGTTGTCGACCGCTTGCTTCTCTAGTTATACCAACTTTAGTAACGACCGCAGGATAGAAATACAGAGAGCCACGCCCCCAACCAAAACGCCACTCTATAGCCACAAATAATGCTCAGAACAGCACCTAACTTCATCAACAGGACATATAGGGTCACAGCCATAGTACTAGACACCAAACATCTTTTTAACTTTGACTCATTTCTTTAGCAAAGAGACTAAACACAACTCACCTACTCTCTTCCAGTCCATTACAGACTACAGCGGGGTGCCGCAGCTCAAGGAAGAACATTAATGATCATTTCTTTATCATTTCCTTGAAGTAATAATCACCATATAAATCATTTTACAGACGCAGTAGTTCTTCTGTCTTAGCGTCTCGGTCTGATTGTATTTCCATGAAGAAATGATCATAAATATTCTTCCTTGAGCTGCGGCACCCCGCTGTAGTCTGTAATGGACTGGAAGAGAGTAGGTGAGTTGTGTTTAGTCTCTTTGCTAAAGAAATGAGTCGAAGTTAAAAAGATGTTTGGTGTCTAGTACTATGGCTGTGACCCTATATGTACTAACCTCAGTAGAACATGATGTAGTTCCGTTCAGTAACAGAACCTCATTGTAAAATTAGCCGATTTAACTTTACTGTGCTCTTGTTCAAATATATTAACTCGACAGCACATAAATCCATACCTGTTAACAAAATCATGATTTTATTGATAATTCGGCTCAATAAAAACACCTTTACCTTTTCATTTTACTACAGTAGAAGTTTATTGGCCCAGTTTATAGACTACAGAAGTGGAGAAACGCCCCCACTTAAGTTTATGTTTTCTTAGGAGTTCGAACAACTCTGAATATAGTCCTATGTCTGTGACCCTATATGTCCTGTTGATGAAGTTAGGTGCTGTTCTGAGCATTATTTGTGACTATAGAGTGGCGTTTTGGTTGAGGTTTGTTTATGGCTCCTCAGACCGCTGTGTCTCAACGGGGGGTCTACCTCAGTGTTACGGTGGGTTTGACCCTAGATTTATTTTACACCAGAATATCCCTTTAAGAGTCGAACTAAGAACTGCCATCCAACAAACACCCTCACCTCTCCTCTGCATGTGTTCACACACACACACACACACACACAGTCTTTACTTCCTCCTCTCTTTCATCCCTCTTTCTCCGCTCACCTCTCTTCCTCTTCCTTTTTCGTCTCCCCCTCTCCAGGCTCGACCACGGGGCTGTCGGCCACGCCCCCCGCCTCTCTACCTGGCTCTCTGACCAACGTGAAGGTCCCGCAGAAGTCGCCATGCCAACAGAGGGAGCGCAAGTCGTCATCCTCGTCCGAGGACCGCAATAAGATGGTGAGAGTCCGTCCCGGATCGGGGACCTGGTCTCTCAGGTGGTTTCTGTGGGTCTGTGCTGACTGTGCGTTTTTGTGTGACAGAAAACTCTGGGGAGGAGGGACTCCAGCGACGACTGGGAGATCCCGGAGGGTCAGATCACTCTGGGTCAGAGGATAGGATCTGGATCCTTTGGGACCGTCTTTAAGGGAAAGTGGCACGGTGAGGGCGGCGCTCTCTCTCTTTCCTCTTTGTCAGTTTTTGTGACGTTTCCTGACGTTTCCTGTGCGTCCTCTCAGGTGACGTCGCAGTGAAGATGTTGAACGTGACCGCGCCCACACCTCAGCAGCTTCAGGCCTTCAAGAATGAAGTGGGAGTCCTCAGGTACCCCTCGTCTTTAGACCAGGTTCTGGGTCTGTCTCTCCTGTATGTCCGCGGTTTAACGGGCCGTCTGTGTTTGTGCGACAGGAAAACGCGTCACGTGAACATCCTGCTCTTCATGGGCTACACCACCAAGCCTCAGCTGGCCATCGTGACGCAGTGGTGCGAGGGTTCGAGTCTCTACCACCACCTGCACATCATCGAGACCAAGTTTGAGATGATCAAACTGATCGACATCGCCCGGCAGACGGCGCAGGGCATGGAGTGAGTGAACCCGCCGACACCCGCTAAGAGACCCCCAGAGGTACCTGAGGTCTTACTAACACACCTGTCCTCCTTTTTCAGCTACCTGCACGCCAAGTCCATCATCCACAGAGACCTGAAGAGCAACAGTATCCTGTCAACGAGAGAGAGAGCGCAGACTTGAACCCTCAGGGGTCCGTAAAAAAGTTATGTTTAGGTCCAAAAATGACCATCTCCTAAAAGTGCTCTAAAAATATTATACATTAATATTTCTTTGAACTTTGAACTGATCATATCTATCAAATATTGATTCATTTTCAGAATTTTAACCCTTTAAATGCCAGTTTGATTTTATGACGTCACTGTTTTTTTTATTGGGAAAAAAGGAATTTTGTTTTATTTTCCATATTTCAGCTGCTGGGCAGGAATACCTTTGTTTTTTTTTTTAATCAAAGTCTATTATTATATATTATTATGCATTATAATGTTTGATTTATCGTCTGATTTTTAAAAAGTTATATTTAGGTCCTGAACGTGTCGTGTTTTTGTCACACAGTGAATATTGACCTGATGAATTAACGGGTGATCACCTTTTAAAACTTTGACTGAAAAAACAATCATCCCGTTTGTATTAACAGCCAAAAAGATCAACAAGTAAAAGTTAAAGAGTCACTAAAAAGAGCCGCAGAGGGTTAAAGAACAGTCAGCGACTTTAATCAACAGGAAAATGTCCCGACGAGTTTTCAGGTGGTCGTTAAAATAATCTTTCCCAGCGGTGGTCAGAGGGTTTCAGGTGATGATGATGATGATGATGATGATGATGATGAGGAGGAGGAGGAAGAGTCTCCTTAACTTCTCCTCTCAGATATTTTCCTCCACGAGGATCTGACGGTGAAGATCGGAGACTTCGGTCTGGCCACGGTCAAATCCCGCTGGAGCGGCTCGCACCAGTTCGAGCAGCTGTCGGGCTCCATTCTGTGGATGGTCAGTGAACCTCTGATGTCAAAGGTTAAAAACGGCGTTTGTTTCTGTGCGTCATGTGACTGGTGTGGTGTCGCTCTCTGCTCCTCAGGCTCCGGAGGTGATCCGGCTGCAGGATAAGAATCCGTACAGCTTCCAGTCCGACGTTTACGCCTTCGGCATCGTTCTGTACGAGCTGATGTCCGGGGCGCTGCCGTACTCCAACATCAACAACAGAGACCAGGTAGGAGGACGACCCGGTCCCACAGGGTCCAGAACCCGGGTCGGACAGGTTTTAAAGTCCATGTGTTTGTGATGGAGATCTGAGGACTTTAAAGGGACATTCCGCTGTTTCTGCAGTTTGACTTACATGTTTTAGCCTTGTTGGATGATGGTTAGCTCCGCCCCTTTCATGAGGCAGACGCTGCTCCTCTGTAGACCTGACCCTGAACCCTTGTAGATCTCTGTGGTCACTCTGACAAACCATAACACCTCCTCCTCTTCTTCTTCTTCTCCTCGCACAGATCATCTTCATGGTGGGGCGGGGTTACCTGTCTCCTGACCTCAGCAAGGTGCGCAGCAACTGTCCCAAAGCCATGAAGAGGCTGATGGCCGACTGTCTGAAGAAGAAGAGGGAGGAGCGACCTCTGTTCCCCCAGGTCAGACTCAGACTCGGGGTCGTTTTTACTCGTTTCCTCTCTGACTCGGTCTCAGACCTCCTCCGTCTTCATCTTCATGTTTTCGTCTCCTAATCAAACTCGTACCCGGCGTCACCGTTGATCTCGTGTTTTCAGATCTTGGCGTCCATCGAGCTGCTCGCTCGCTCTCTGCCCAAAATCCACCGCAGCGCCTCGGAGCCGTCACTAAACCGAGCCGGCTTTCAGACCGAGGACTTCAGCCTGTACGCCTGCGCTTCACCCAAAACCCCCATCCAGGCGGGGGGCTACGGTGAGGACACACACACACACACACATGTCTCCTTGATTCCTTCACTTAGAGGATTTTTGAAGGGTACATTTTTTTACTTTAATGACAAAGTTTCAGGGACTCTGAACAAATAAATAAAAACCTGCAAAAGTCAAATCGGGGTCGTGATGTCACTCAAACACTGTCATGTGACAGGAACCAGGTGGTCAGGGTTCAAGAGTGATGAGGTTATTTTAGGAAGATGAAGTCCTGATGTGGAGATAAAAAAGTTTTGAGATGTTTCAGGTTAAAAGTCTCAAAGTTACGTCTCAAAAATAAAGTTCTAATCTTACGTTTGTGTTTTTTTTTAAAGTCACAAATCTAAAAGTTTTTTCATGTTTGAGCTCAGACTGTTTGGAGTTTTTAAAACCCTGAAACTTGGACTAAAGTCTGATCGATCAGGACGCCATGATTCTCATGATTTTCCTCGATGTAATCCCAAAGTTTTATCTCATTTTTATCCTAAAATAACGAACTTGTTTTCAGTCTAAACTGAATATTTGAGCCTCAAATGTCATAAAATTTCACACACCTGGTTGATTTTCACATGTTCTAAGTAATAAAATCTGATAATTGTTCCTCAGCCTCTCTCTAACTCTCTCTCTCTCTCTCTCTCTCTCTCTGTTCTGGTCCGGTCCGGTCCGGTTTAGGGGAGTTTTCAGCGTTTAAATAAGAGCTGCAGATTTCTTCAGTCCGTCCCTCTCCACCTCTCTAAAGTCTCGTGTCCATGCGATGGAGTCATCCATTTCTGAACAAACTGAACAAACAAAGAATGTGCTTTTTTCTTCCTCTGTCCACCTGAAGGGGGCAGCGTCCCCCCCACAGCGGTCCTCCAACAGACAGACCAAACTCAATCAGGAAAAAACCACAAAACAAGACCTTTAAACGAGACGAAGGACAGAAAAAAAACACAACTCAAAAGATTTCCAAACCAAAAGAGTTTCAGGAGGAGACGCCGGCCTGCCGAGGGAGCAGAGGGGAGAGAGGAGGAGGAGGAGGAGGAGGAGGAGGACCTGAGCAGGGAAGGCCGGGCTGCAGGAGGCACTTTGAGCGTCGGTCCGGTGTTGGCCCGGTCCTGAAAGAGCCGGATGGTCCACCCTGAAGGAAGACGACTTGAAGAGAGATTTTTTTCGTTTGTTTCTCACGTTAGCGATCGAAGCGCCGCCGCCGCTGCTGCTGCTGCTGCTAACACTTTTGCTTTTTTTGTTCCTTTTGCAGCACAAGCCTTTTTCTTTCTTTGTCTTTTTGGGGCCGACCAAATCCTGAGATTTTTTTTTTCTCCAACATAGTCGACATGTGAGACTGAACCGTTTTGCTTTTTCTACCTTTTCAAAAACCTGCGTGTGGAAAGGACAGGAGTCCAGATCCTGGTCTTCTTCTGATGCGGATCTGCTGGGTTACTGAGGAGTGTGTACAGGACCTCCAGCCTCGTCTCCACCTGCATGTACTCTCATTTTTCTTTCCTTATTCTCGCTCACATGGCTTTAATATTTGCACTCGGCTTCAAACGGGGACCTTATCGTTTCTGCTGCGGCGATTCCTGCTGAACGGACGAATCCCACCTTTACTTTGTCCACACACACACACACACACACGTGCACACCTGTACTCTTCATTCCAGCGTGTGTTCAGGGTCGTAGGTGTTTATTCCAGGTTGATTTTGTTAACGTCGATGTTTGCCTTTTTTCTGTACAGGCAGGCCTGCAGATATTTACTTATTTATGTGATATTTTTGTTAAGTTTATTTTCTCGATTTGAAGCTATCAGTCTTTCTTTCGGACGCTTGTTTTAGTCTTTTTGACTCGTGTACTTGCACTTTGTGGAGATGGATCGAAGCAAACGAGCGACTTGCCTTTTCTTTTTTTACGGACGAACAGAGAGCGAATAAAAATTCGGCTCCAGATGATCGAGTGTGAACTGTGAACTTTGACCTGGAGGGTTCTGGACCGTCTGCGATGGAGGTCGAGTGAAAACCAAGCTGAAAACATCCATCCAAACTCTGACGGTCTGACTTCTCTCTTCCATCAACCATCATGTTCGTCTTTCGTCGTGAACAGACCGTCAGCCCGCTAACCTAGTTCAGTTTTTTAAAGCTCCTCTGGTGTCGACTGAGGGACTAATCAAGAGCTGTGATTTTAAGATCTATGCCTGTAGATCTGCAACGTATAGATGTGGTTTCATAGAGTGAGGGGAGAGGGAACGGTGTCGTCAACAAACGAAGTGAACTGTGGGAGTCGGCAGCGGTTCTGTAAACTCTGGAGAGAGTTCTGTCAGCTGTTTCATCAACTCCTGCCGCTCAGTCGTGATAGAACTGTAACGAACCTTTAGAAACATTTCACACGCTGTGGGAACTATTGGAGGGAACTATTCGTCAGCTAAGATAGTTCTTTGTCCGCTGTGGGAAGAGTGCGCTAATGTGTGGGAGCGCTTTCCCAATTTGTGGGAACGGTTTTGTAAAATGTAGAACAAGTGAAACTAACAGGAAATGTTTTTTTCAACTTAGGGAACGGTTCCCAAAAGTTGGAATGGTTTCCTAAAATGTGGGAATGTTTCAATAAGTAGTCAGAACGGGTTTTACAAACGGAGGGAACTATTTCGTAAATTTTGGGAACAGTTTTGTAAACTCTAAAAACAGATTTTCAAGTTGTGGGAACAGTTCTGTTAACTGTGAGAACATTTTTCCAAACAGTGGGAATGGTTTCGTCAACCGAGGGAACGGTTCCTAAAAGTTGGAATGGTTTGCTAAAATGTGGGAACGTTTCCGTAAGTAGTTGAAACTGGTTTCACAAACGTAGGGAACTAAACAGAAATTAAAACTCTCTGAAGAATTTCGTAAAGCGTTCACACGGCTGCGTTAGCTTTGGGAACGGCCATCTAAAATCTGGCAGTGGTGTGAAGAACTGTGGGAACGGTTTGTTGTATGTAAGAGGACTTTTGGTGACTATGAATCATAAACTGGATAACCGGATAGTTTCGTTTAAACGTTGTTTTGTCGCCGTCTTCGATAACCACGGGGCTGTGGGAACAGTTTCCTAAAGTCTGGGCGTGATCCTGTGATCGGTGGTCGTGGGTTTCATGAACGGTTTTGTTACTGTGGTCCCAGTTTTGTCGGCTTGTCTCAGTTTCGCTGGTTTTAGGGATGATTGGGAACCACAGTTTCTTTCTTTTAAATGGACGTTTTTCTCAGGGCGGCGTCTGAGCGAACCCGCGTCGGTTCGTTTACGTAGATTTAAGGACAGATTTAATCCCACAGCTTTTCTCTCTAACGGCAGGTTTATTCTGAGACCTGCAGCTTTCAGGTTTTATGAATTAGTTCCCACAAACAGACAGAATTATAAACTGTACAAAGAGACTCATTAACGGAGATTACAGGTGAACAGACGGCTCTTTATTCCCCTCAGCTGACACCAGGGGGCTCCACACAGGGTTTGACTGAGACTCTGTCCACTTTTCATTTAACGTCACATATCAGCCGGTCAGGTGACCTCTGAGCTGCAGAGGAGGGTCATAAATCATCCAAATGAAGCCGGTCAGGTGGTTTTTTATTCCTTCAGAGGAGGTTTTTAAGACGTCTGAGCTGTGAAGGAGGACTGTGACCGTCGGAGGTTTTGAGGCTGAAGCTGACAGAGAGAGAGAGTCTGAGGAAACCTTTTCAACTCAAGCTATAGTAAAAATAGTTTCTTCTCTTTTCATAGAAAAGTTTAAGACTCTAAATGTGTGAAAGTGAATTCAGGAAAACAAACGTATCAGTCTGAAACTTCAGTGTCTCTGGTTCTGCATCGTTTTTTTCCTTTTAGTCTTTTTATCGTCTGCTTCAGTGGAGGTCAGCAGTTACCCTGTCACCTCCAAAATAACCCCTAAAAAGTGGGTTTTTGAATCCTCCATGTGCTGCACCAGTTAGTGCTTTCACACTTGTTTCATCTGCAGATTCCTCGAACCTTTTTGCATCAAAATCTCAAAAAGTTCCTGGAAGTGACGCCTTTAAATTCCTCATTCGCCAAGAAACTTTCACATTTGAAGAAGCTCAAAACAGCGAATATTCGGTGCTGCTTTGGTTTGTTTTGCTTCAGGTCACACCTGTGAATTTTACATAATCCTCATTTTCCAGCTTTAATGTGAGTTTCTTCTCTCAGAGGGAAATCAGAGAAATGATGCAAACTCCTGTAAAATGTTCTCCGAGTTCGTGAAGGTGAGACTCGATGCATTTGTGGTTCAGACCTTTAGGAGGGCAGGTGAACGTTTGAGACATCTTTAATTTACTCTAAACCTGCACGACCACGACCGAAAACGGCGAGTTTGCAGAGATCCTGAAGTTTTACTCTGACGTTTCCTCGAGCTTCGGGTGATTCTGAACCTTCGTTCTTGACGATAAAAACAGGACGTGTGTTTTTATGAAACTGTTTCGGCTGTACAGATGAATATCGTAGAGTAAAGAGACGGTGGTAAAAGCTTCACATGGCCTTCATCCTCCTTCACAGACTCCATCATCATCATCATCATCATCATCATCAGGTTGTTAATAAAGTCCTCAGAGCGCTGTATTTCTTCTCCTTACAGATCTTCATTTTCTCACCCTCCTTTCCTCTCTCCGTTTAACTTTCTCTTCTTCTTCTTCTTCTTCTCTAACATTCCCTCCTCTTCTTCCTCTTCCTCCCTGCCTGCACCTTAAACCCTCCTCCTCTTCTTCCTCCTCCTCTTCCTCACCTGACCATGAAGAACTTTAGAGATTTTTGTTTTTTGTTTTGTTTTTTTGTTCCTGGTGTAAATACGTGTACAGATGAAATCCTGTCAGTTTGCTAGGAGGCATGGAGACTACAAAAATGTAACAAACTATAAAATGTTGAAAATAAAGATGCCGAGAGTGAAAAAAGGGTTTTGATAGGCAGGAACTGAGACAAACGGTGGAGTGTACAAATATTTAAGGCTGTATCATACGGAGAAAGAGCTTAATGTATTTGTTGTGAATATGAAAAACTGATATATTAAAGAAGTGCATGAAAACTGTAGCTCAGTTCAGGCCTCTTTATTGTGTTTTGATCATGTAGGAATATTTCAGACCACAAGGTGGCAGCATCGGACTGGGAATAAGGAGCAGAGTCAGACAAACAGCACAAATGTAATGGTCACTTTTTACTCATCAATATATTTATTAGTTTTATACAGATAAATACAGTAAAGCTCAGTTCAGCAGTACAGAGGGGATCCACCTCAGGATATAGTCTTTTATTTTTTAATGTTATTTTCTTTATGACTTTTTTCAGCTTGAACCCGCTTCAAACTAACTTTACCACAATTATCTTTATCAGTCCCCCCTCTGTAAAAGGAGCAGAAGTAATCAGAAAATCACTCAAACTTTCTCCTAAATCAGAAATTTTAGACTCATTTAAGTGTCTGAGCCACTTCAGTGTTAAATTTGATGCACCAAACATTCAACTACAGATGATAAAATAATGTTATTAACATGGCTGGAAGGATCTACTTTAAACATGCAAATTCAGTCCCCCACGCTCACATTAAATCTTTTCAAATTTGCAAAAAACAACAAGCAAGAATGTCCTCCAAAGACAGGTCGTCCAATAAGGTGTGGTCCAAACAAAAACACACACAGTTACTTGTTTGTAACACGTTTGGAGGACGACATCTTTTAAGTGTTTTGTGTGGACCTTCACTTCCAGAGTAGATGAGATGGTCCAAAAGATTCACCTGCAGTCAAAGGGGAGTTAAAATGTCACAGCAAATCACAAAACTCATAGAAACTCATTAAACACTTAATTTTGGAAAGACTGTGAAACGGTCCCCAAAAGACAGGTCGTCAATGAAAGGATGGTCTTTACAAGGATATAAAAACAAACACACTCACACACACAGTCATTTTTCTGCAGAAACATGAAAATATCTCGATTAATATCATTATGTACAGATATATATATATCACAAACAGTCTATTGTGTATATGTGTGGATATGAGCGGAGCGTCTCTCCATGACCCGACTATCTCCACCTCCCAGCTGTGATCAGCGTATCTCACCTCTGAAATATGATAATATTCTCCATTAGACATATTTACAGCCTTCATAAAAAGCACAGAAGCTGCCTGTCTCTTATATCACACCTCACATTTATCACCGCCCTGCTCACACTCTGGATACCTTTATTTATACGACACTGTGTAATAGCTGTGAGACGCTAATCCGACCACACACAGCCGCACAATGAAGCATCTATCACAGGATACAGGAGGAAGAGGAGGATGAAGAATACACACCCCCTCCCTGAAAATATAAGGTAGGTGTTTTTGTACCAAAGCTTGAAGGAAAGTAACAAAGTGTGGAATTACATGTATGTAAACTGTAAATATATATATATAAATGTATATATATGTAAGTTTGATGTGTTCAAACAGAAACGTCCACAGCCATGAAAAAAAAAATCTGAAAGTCCCAAAAACTGCAGTTCCCTGAATGTCCACTAGAGGCTGTGGCTGAAAGTGAGTCAGTCCCCATAGAGCCTCATGTTAACATGTTGAACTCAACAGCAGAAATAAACACAGATGTTCACGTGTTTCTTATCCAGGAGCTTTTCTCGCCAAAACACCTGAAGACATCATCAACAGGTGATTTTACAGTCAGTACCGTAAAGACTGGAATATACAACTGATTTATTCAGACTTTGAATAAAAAAGGAGGGAGGTGATCAGAGGAGATGATGGACTTTTCTCCTCTTCCTCTCTCTCTCTCTCTCTCTCTCTTTGCCGCTCGGCCTGCAGGCGTTTCCTCTCCTCTGTGATTTATTGTCTTTCCTCCGTCTTTGAAAGCTCTCTGCTCCTCGTCTTCTCAGGAGGAACCTTCCTCCTCTGGGACTCGACTGTAACTCATCCTCCTCCTCCTCCTCCTCACTCCACTGTACAGTCTTCAATCAGGAACCTTTTTTTTTTTTTATTAAACTAGCAGGTTTTTCTACGAGAGCTCCTCTGTTATCCTCCGAGTTGGTACATGGCAGAGAGAACGGGCGAATCAGTGAATGTGACAAACACCGGATGGAAACATTGATGATATCGAGGTAAAGAAAAAAAAAACACCTGCTGAAGTCGTTGTTTTGGGGTCTGACGATAAAGGACCCGATAGTGCAGACTCAAAAAATGGTTTATTAAAAAGAACTGAATGAAAAAACAACAAAAACTTTCTTCAAAATGTCCAACTGAAAAATCCAAAATGCTAAATCAAACGAGAAACACAAGAAGACCCTAACCTCTAAAATCTAACACATCGACTGAGGCATGTCCACACTGGGCGGGTCTTTACCACCGACTCCAGGTCTGACGTGAGTATGACCACGGTCGAGACGCACTTCTGTGGTTTATTTTAAAACGATGACGTTTTTTAAACAGAGGGGGGGATATTTGTTTATAAAAATACAGACAAACATGTGGACGAGACCGAAGACTGACACACACTGACTGACAAACACACACATTAACACACAATGAACCAACAAGAACAGAGAGAAGACAGAGAATATACACAGACAGGTAAACGAGACACAGGTGAGACTGATGAGTGATTAACGAAGGAGGAAAAACTGAGGAAGTAAAACACAAGGAATCAACTCCTACAAAATAAAACTGGAAACACAGAAATCAAATCCTACAAAATAAAACTGGAAACACAGAAATCAAATCCTACAAAATAAAACTGGAAAGAAATAAGGAATCAACTCCTACAAAATAAAACAAAGAAAACAAGGAGTCAACTCCTACAAAATAAAACAGGAAATAAATAAGGAATCAACTCCTACAAAATAAAACAGGAAATAAATAAGGAATCAACTCCTACAAAATAAAACAAAGAAAACAAGGAGTCAACTCCTACAAAATAAAACAGGAAATAAATAAGGAATCAACTTCTACAAAATAAAACAGGAAATAAATAAGGAATCAACTCCTACAAAATAAAACTGGAAATAAATAAGGAATCAACTCCTACAAAATAAAACTGGAAATAAACAAGGAATCAACTCCTACAAAATGAAACTGGAAATAAGTAAGGAATCAACTCCTACAAAATAGAACAGGAAATAAATAAGGAATCAACTCCTACAAAATAAAATAGGAATTAAATAAGGAATCAATTCCTAAAAAATAAAACTGGAAATAAAAAAGGAATCAACTACTACAAAATAAAACAGGAAATAAATAAGGAATCAACTCCTACAAAATAAAACAGGAAATAAATAAGGAATCAACTCCTACAATACAAAACAGGAACCACTAGGAATCAGCTCCTATAAAATAAAACAGGAAACACAGAAATCAAATCCTACAAAATAAAACTGGAAACACAGAAATCAAATCCTACAAAATAAATCAGGAAATAAACAAGGAATAAACTACTACAAAATAAAACAGGAAACACAAGGAATCAACTACTACAACATAAAAAAGGAAATAAACAAGGAATCAATTACTACAAAATAAAACAGGAAATAAACAGGTAATCATTTACTACAAAATAAAACAGGAAATAAACAGGTCATCATTTACTATACAAATAAACAGGAAACACAAGGAATCAACAACTACAAAATAGAGCAGGAAATAAACAAGCAATAAACTCCTACAAAATTAAACTGAAAGAAAACAAGGAATCAACTCCTACAAAATAAAACAGGAAACACTGAAAACTGATCTAAAAGATAAAACACAGAGAACAGAAGGGAAACAAAAGAAGAGGAACACTCGTGTTAAAGTGGACCATGAGGGATAAAGTGGTGCAGTGACAGTGAAGTGATTGTAGAGGAACGCTCTCTGTGTGTTTATATCAGTAAATAAAGAACCAGCAGGCCTGAAGTGCATCTTATAAAATCTTCATTATCTCCTTTTACGGCTGATAATCATCGTAAATCCTCTAATCATCAGATCCTGGCTCACCTTACACTTCACAGAGGCTTTTAATGTGATGGTATCTGCTGGTTTTATTGTGAAAGAGTGCTCTGATCTGACGGCTGTTATTGTCGGTGATTTAAAGGTGGCTGCTGAGGACTAATGAGAGATAAAACAGAGAGATTACAGCGTCATGAGAACAGAGGCGGAGCTGCTGTTAGTTCATCTTCACTCTGCTGCTGCTCCTGGAAAATAAAAACACACATTTTCAGATTCTGCTGGTTATGAGGAGTTTGACTCTGTTTTACACACAAAGACCTGCAGAACAATAAAGTGCTATCAGCGCTCTGCAGCTCTGAAATCCACATTTTCAGAGTTTTCTCCGCGTATCATCCAGGATTTATCCCCAGCTTATCTTGAGTTCACATATTTCACTCTGCAGGACCACCTCTCTGTTGGACTGTTTCGGTTTCTTTGGTCATACTGGGAGACTTTTTCCACAAAAGGGACCGTGCAGCTGTTTTCAAAATAGGAAACCAACCCAGCAAGATCCAAGACTTCAGAACCGGGACCACAAAAAAACACATTTTATGAAACACAGTGTCCAAAAATAGTCCTCCATCATTTCAGAGTCATGTTCGCTTATTCCTGCAGGCTGACATAGTTGAAAACGTAGGTAGGTAGATAGGTAGGTAGGTAGGTAGGTAGGTTGCAGGCTGACATGGCTGAAAACGTAGGTAGGTAGGTAGGTAGGTAGGTAGGTAGGTTGGTAGGTAGGTTGGTAGGTAGGTTGCAGGCTGACATGGTTGAAAACGTAGGTAGGTAGGTAGGTAGGTAGGTAGGTAGGTAGGTAGGTTGGTAGGTAGGTAGGTAGGTTGCAGGCTGACATGGTTGAAAACGTAGGTAGGTAGGTAGGTAGGTAGGTAGGTTGGTAGGTTGGTAGGTAGGTTGCAGGCTGACATGGTTGAAAACGTAGGTAGGTAGGTAGGTAGGTAGGTAGGTAGGTTGGTAGGTAGGTAGGTAGGTAGGTTGGTAGGTAGGTAGGTTGCAGGCTGACATGGTTGAAAACGTAGGTAGGTAGGTAGGTAGGTAGGTAGGTAGGTAGGTTGCAGGCTGACATGGTTGAAAACATAGGTAGGTAGGTTGGTAGGTAGGTTGGTAGGTAGGTAGGTAGGTAGGTTGCAGGCTGACATGGCTGAAAACATAGGTAGGTAGGTAGGTAGGTAGGTAGGTAGGTAGGTAGGTTGCAGGCTGACATGGCTGAAAACGTAGGTAGGTAGGTAGGTAGGTAGGTTGGTAGGTAGGTTGCAGGCTGACATGGTTGAAAACGTAGGTAGGTAGGTAGGTAGGTAGGTAGGTAGGTAGGTAGGTAGGTAGGTAGGTAGGTTGGTTGGTAGGTAGGTAGGTTGGTAGGTAGGTAGGTAGGTTGCAGGCTGACATGGCTGAAAACGTAGGTAGGTAGGTAGGTAGGTAGGTAGGTAGGTAGGTAGGTTGCAGGCTGACATGGCTGAAAACGTAGGTAGGTAGGTAGGTAGGTAGGTAGGTTGGTAGGTAGGTTGCAGGCTGACATGGTTGAAAACGTAGGTAGGTAGGTAGGTAGGTAGGTAGGTTGGTTGGTAGGTAGGTAGGTTGGTAGGTAGGTAGGTAGGTTGCAGGCTGACATGGTTGAAAACGTAGGTAGGTAGGTAGGTAGGTAGGTAGGTAGGTAGGTTGCAGGCTGACATGGTTGAAAACATAGGTAGGTAGGTAGGTAGGTAGGTAGGTAGGTAGGTAGGTTGGTAGGTAGGTTGGTAGGTAGGTAGGTAGGTTGCAGGCTGACATGGTTGAAAACGTAGGTAGGTAGGTAGGTAGGTAGGTTTTATTGATCCCAAACTGTTCTTGTGAGTTGTCACGATTCCTGCTGTCTGAAATCTGCCACGAAATTTGCCTCACAAAAGGATCCCGTCGGTGGATGGGAAAAATCGCCGCCATTCTGGACCTGAGCCGTTCTGAATGTGGTGAAAATTGGGGGTTAGCCTGACACGTCACACTCAGAGGCAGCAGTCGCTCTGATTTCAGTCGAACCACCGACAAACACGACCGTTTCCCCTCTTTAGTTCGGGCTTCTCTCTCCGTCTCTCTCTGGGTTTTATTCGCAGGATAAAAACCTGTTTTTTTTTTGTCACATTATTTATTCGATCTGTTGGTTTCAACAGTTTCAAACTGTGAGACTCACCAGGACTTCATTTGCACTCACGCTGTGTTTCCAAACTCTGCAAAACTTTCGGAGCGTGGCGTTAATTCAGCCTTTATTTAACTTTGGTAACATGGAGATAAGACGGAGGGCTGAAGCCGTTATTTACCCACAAACCCCTCTGTTTACAGCAGCAGAGAAGGACGCCGAGCAGGAATCATTAGTTCAGAAACTCCTCCTGAGATGCAAAAGCAGATTACCAGTCTGTGGTCTGTCTGGACTGTACATCTCCTCACTTTAGCTGCTAAAGGAAACCTGAAAACTCAAATCTTGTGTCCACATTAAAGCCCACAGGCAGCCCTCAGCGCCCCCTCCTCGTCTCTACTTCCCCCCACCGCAGAAATCAATACGGGCATTTGTTCTCAGATGTCTTCATCCTGACATGTCTTTGCATGCTTAATGAACTTTCCTGTCCACTGTCCAAGGCTGTATTGATCCTCAAAATGGCTGCTATTCAGCAGAGATCTCCATTTGGCCTGAGTGGAGCCGCAGCAGCAGAGAGCTCCATAGATCAGGTCCACAGACAGACCACATTATGCTTCTTTTTGGGAGCCGGACCGTTCCACTCACTTTTCAGCTGCCGGCCATTTATCCGCTGTCTCCTGCAGACAGCTGGTTAAGAGAGGTGAGAAGGGGAAGTGCAGTGAATCTTAATCTAATTAAAGGCAGAGAGCCGGCGGCGGCGAGGAGCGAGAACGTCTCTATCAGCCGCACACTTTCTCTGCAGATCTGCTGATAGTGATGAATAATGAGCTCCAAGGTCAGCAGCCACGCCTGGATTTACTCTGCGCTCCACTCTCACCTCATAATGCCCACAACACACACACACACACACACACACACACACACACACACTCGAAAAGTTTGAAAAGTGACTTTGCTGCTGAGATATGATGATGATGATGATGATGAATTCAGGGATGATAAATTTCAGAGCGACTTTGCAGAGTCCAACTTCACGCTGATCACATGTGGACAAGAAGGACTCTGCAGACGCTCCACCTGTGGACAGGTGTGGATGGTTGCTGAGCTCACAGTCACTGTCGCTCCATCTGGACCATTAATGCACATTTGAAGTATGACGGCTCAGACGGCTGCATGACAACAGGAACTCTGGGAAGTTTGAAGCTGATGCTACATGTTCATGGGGGTCACTGTTTTCATGTGTGACTGATCTGTTGACTCTATTTCTGTACGGTTCATCTCTGTAGGTATGAAGGAGTCCAGATAAAATCAATGAGAACTTATTAAAAAGTGGTCTCAACGCTCTTTTATTTATTCATATTCTATTTTGTTTATCAAGATTTGTTTATCAAGGATTGAAAGAGCAGTTCTTAAAATGAGGAAAATAAAGAATAAAAAAGGATAGAGAGTAGATAGCTCTATATCCCACAGCCATCTATACTCCGTATAGACGGGGTATAGATGGGATATAGATGGCTCTATACTCTTTGTCACTTTGATGACTTGGTTTCTTCAAGACTTCATCCACCTTTGACTTTCTGCTTCATAACCCCCCCAGTGTTCCTCTCCAGAAACACCAGGGGGAAACCCCACCCCACCAGGCCTGGTTCCCCAGGATATGCTTCAGGATCTACTTTGTGCCGAGTGGGTTTCGAACCAGCCCACTTGACTCCCATTTAGGTGTTGGTTGTCTACGACACTGCCCCACCGGATACCATCCACACTTGTGGATGAGCTCTGCGTGCTTCTATCCCGGTACTTTTGCTCCTGGGCTTTAAAATTCATCCTGGATAAGACTCGAACCCACAACCTCAGGAGTCTCAGTAAGTGTTCTTATCCTCTGAGCCATGTGGACACCAAGTATTCTGTTTATTTCCTTTGTTACTGTCCTTTGTAGACCTTCATCTTTACCCGGGTAAGGTAAGACTCGAACCCACAACCTCAGGAGTCCCAGTAAGTGTTCTTATCCTCTGAGCCACGTGGACACACAGGAGTATACCATTTAGAAGACATGCAGAGTGGACTTATTTCCTATACTGGAATCCAGAGAGTATTTTGTAATTATTGGACGGGCATCTGGAAAGAACTTTTTGTAAACTGGAAGGGCAACCAGGGGGCGCTCACAGTCCTGCAGACTGTCGTCCTTATACTGAGGTTTTTTTTCACCGGTGAGTATTTATACTGATTTGTAATTTAAACAATCGTGTTTACACATATCCTGCTTCATAGTACAGCTGATCGGGCTTTCGTAGATCTGGTGACGTTGAGCGAGTTGTTGCAGAGTTATCCTGGGTGTGTTAATCCAGCTTCGTAGTCCAGGCCTCAGGTCACGAGTCAATAATGACGGACGAATACGAGTTCAATTTTTCAGGATCAATAATGTGGCGACACAGCTCACAGTTCAGCCACGAGGAAGGGAAATGATGTAACACGGTGAGGAGGAGGCGGAGTCACAGTTAACAGCTGAGAGGACCAATGAAAGCCCAGGGGGGGTTCTTTTATGGACCCTCCTGTGGTCCTGAACAGGTTCTTGTACTCTCGTATGTCCGTGTCTCAATCTGCAGAGAAAATGTCCCCGTCCCGCCGTGTCCCTGTTCCAGCCTGATGGTGTGAATGTGTCGGGGAATAAATTGGCTGTCCCTCCAGCAGACTGACAGGTATCTCTCTCCTCACTGACACGGACCAATAACTCCCATCAGCCCTCTCTCTGCCAGGACGCCGTGCCAGCTTTTAAATTGCTCTGGCTGCCATCCTGAGTGTGCTGTTCTTCAGAGACTCGGGGAAACGGAAAGTACCTCAGAGCTGAAGTGGAGCATATGTAGCTGCGTCCGCATTGACACTGTGTTTCCTCTGTGCTGTTATCGGTTTGAGAAGTAATTAATGAACCCGGTCCCAGGACGGGGGTTTAGGAGGACCTGCAGACTGATTATGGGTGTAATGTAATGTAATGTAGCTTAAATGATGTCTGCTCTGAGGGTGGAGAAGAGGAGGCGGAGGAGGAGGAGGAGGACGTCATTGGAGCGGCTGTAGCTGCAGAGTCAGTTTGAACACAAACATCCTCCATTCACAAAGAAAAACCGAGTCTTTTAATTGGTCCTTCAGAGCGTCAGCCAAGCGAGTCACACACAAGATTTCCATATTTATTTACCTCTCAACTTCATTTCCCGCCTGTTAGTCCGCTGTGTGTTCATCCAGCAGAGAGGATCGCTGATTCTTTTATTTTGAAGTCGACTACAGAGAAGATTTCTAACTATGCTGTTATTTTGAAGTCGAGTAGTTCTTGTCAATTTAAAGGTTTATGTTTTTCCCCAGACGTAGAACCTGAAGGTCAGGGGTCAGTCAAAGTTTAAAAGCATGTGTCCTTAAAGGTGACCGTGGTGAAGGTTTTCCTCCGATCTGGACTCAAAAACAGGAAGAGGAAGTAAATGATTGTTGGACAGACGCTGAAGAAACACGAACATCAAACTCTAAATTTCCTTTGTCTTTGAATTAAAGGAGACAAAATCCACCTGAACAGGTGAGCTCAGCCTCCTCATTTAACCTCCCAGTGTCTGCTGATTGACACCGAGCTGAGGGAGGTCACAGGTGCTCCTAATTAACTAATTAACCAATGAAGCTCCTGGCCTGAATCTGGACCTGAAGAGACTCAAGGATTATGTTTACACATGCCCAACAGTTTTCATGAACGGACATTTCAACCTCTCCGTTACAAAAAACGAGAGGTTCACGTTTTTATTAACTTTTAAACTGACTCTATCACTGACCATCTGAATAATCATGAATGCCTCACACGGGGCACCAAAATAATATGTCATGATTTGAATTCATAATAAATGTCATAATTTAAGATTATTAATCTTAAGGCATTTATTAAAAAACCGCTCAGTCGTCAGGCTGTGATCTTCAAACCCAGTTCATTGTAACGGCCCTGATTTCTACTCAAACTGGGATGAGATGAAGTTCTTAGTTATTTGAATGGAAATGAATCCATGAGTTCATGCCTTCTTTCTCTTATTTCTCTTGTGTCGTAGGATGTAAATTTAATATCTGTGTTATTCTCCTGTTTGAGGAAGGTGACAGTCTCCTCATGAGTCCACGGATCAGATCAGCTGATCTGTTCTGAACCTCCTGCATACGTCACTTTAGTCCATTTTATTTCATATTTCTCTGACTTACTGACTCCTGAAACTCGAACGCTTCTTTTTGAATCTTATTTTCATCTCAAATTTATGAAAGCGTGTCAAACTGGTGCTTAAAAACCTGCAGTCATAAAACGTGTGTGTGTGTGTTTTATTGCTGTAGTAAATTCATCAGCTGTTAAAAAACTGCACACACACACACACACACACACACACACACACACACACACTCTCTCGAGGATCAGTCTGACGTCAGGGTTCTCACGGCGGTCCTGTAAATCAAACCTCCTCTTCTGGTTTATCTCCTGTCTTTCCGTCTCATTAATGATCATCACTCTCTTTCTCCGTATTTAGACCCACAACTTCTTCATCATCATCATCATCATCATCCTCATCCTCACCCGCGGCCGGCCTCCCACCGCCCTGACAGCTTCTATTAGAATAAAATAATTAGAGCAGCGCTGCTAAAAGCAAAACAGAATCACTTAGTGTTTCTCTCCCAGCCCGATTGAATGGTTACCGTGGAAACAGAAAAAAAAGAGCTATTTATTCAGCAGCACACTCGAGGTCAGAGTACTTAAAAAAAACATCTAGTTACAGGAATCTACAGCGAGCTGACATCTGAGCGTTTCCATGAATAAAGATAATCACTGAGAGGAAAACTGCGCTCTGATTGGTTCAGACTCACGTGTTTAAAAATGTCTGCTGTGATCTCTGTTTACAGGAAATAACAACAACCTCTGTGGGGTCGGGTTTGAGGGATGGAGTCTGATCTGCTTTCACAAGAAAACAAACAGGAAACCAGAGCGAAGATCTGAGAGATGATTTCCAGACAAACTGGGACTCTGAGAAACTGAGACTCTGAGAAACTGAGAAACTGAGAAACTGAGACTGAGACTCTGAGAAACTGAGACTCTGAGAAACTGAGACTCTGAGAAACTGAGACTGAGAAACTGAGACTCTGAGAGACTTTGACTCTTAGAAACTGGGACTGAGAAACTGAGACTCTGAGGAGCTGAGACTCTGAGAAACTGAGACTGAAAAACTGAGACTCTCTGAAGTAGAGACTGACTGTTTTTTTCTCTGTCTGACTGTTTTCCCTGATTGCCTGTTTTTGTCTGACTGTCTGTTTTTTCTGTGATTGACTGTTTTTTATTTGACTGACTGTTTTTATCTGACTGACTGTTTTTGACTGACCGTTTTCTCACTGACTGACTGTTTTTTATCTGACTGACTGTTTTTCCTCTGACTGACTGACTGTTTTTTTACTGATTGTTTTTCTGACTGACTGCTTTTTATCTGACTGACTGTTTTTTTTCTGACAGACTGTTTTTCTCTGGCTGACTGATTTTTATCTGACTGTTTTTTATCTGACTGACCGTTTTTTTCTGACAGACTGTTTTTCTCCGGCTGACTGTTTTTTTTCTGACTGACTGTTTTTTTATCTGACTGACTGTTTTTTCTCTGACTGACTGTTTTTTCTCCAGCCGACTGTTTTTTATCTGACTGACTGTTTTTATCTGACTGACTGTTTTTTCTCTGACTGACTGTTTTTCTCCGGCTGACTGTTTTTTATCTGACTGACTGTTTTTTATCGGACTGTTTTTATTGACTGAGCAATTTTCTGGCTGACTGTTTTTTATCTGACTGACTGTTTTTCCTCCGACTGACCGCCTCCCTCTCTGTGTTTCTGCAGCGTCACAGTCAAGCAGCAGCAGCAGCAGCAGCGGCGGCGGCGGCGGCGGCGGCGGCGTCTCCTCAGTCTCGTCTGCGTCTCCGTCTGATCCTGTCCTTTTAATGGACTTATTTAGAGCTGATGTAGAGCTGATGATTGAGAGCTGATGATGATGATGGAGACATCTGCTGCAGCATCACTGCTGTTCAACCAGCGAGCAGATGGGAATAAACAGGATCTGTTCATCACATGATGAAACCGCCTTGTTTTCACTCAGCCTCAGTTTTTCAGGCTCTCCACTTTAAATTAAAATGATTAATGATTACGATTCAACATAAAAACCTCCTCACAGGATTAAAAGATACTCTGAACAGCTTCATGGGATGAATTAAGTCAGAGAAATTTAGCAGCACTTTGTTATTTATGAGTGTCTGCAGGTATGTCATGGTTCTGGCTGCTGTTAAAGTGCGCCTATAAATCCAGACAGGAAGTAACGGCTGCATATGGATATGAACATCCATCGGACTGAGAAAAGGACAAATTAACACGCACACACACACTGACAAAAACCTTCACAACAGTTAAAAACAACATTTAATCCGATGAGACCTGCAGAAACTCGCCTTTTTAACTCTTTCTTGGATGTGTGATCTCGGTGTGAAAGCTCGCCGTGTAACACTTCCTGTCAAAGTCAAACCAACCCTGTCCGAAAACCAGCCGCCAGCTGTCTGACAGCTGATGGAGACGACAGCAGCAGACATGCCGAGAATCATTCAGCGCTGAAAATAAACTGATATTTCCTCAGAGACCTCTTCTCCCCAGAGAGCAGAGGACAGGAAGACAGACGATCTCAGAGAAACATCCACCATCCTCTGACAACGCCAGCTCCTCTGGGAGAGATGCTGAACTTTCCAGAGTGAGTGAAAGAGACTCAACGACACATTTCCTCTAACGCGCTCGGCTCTGTTAACAGTCCATCATACAAAGTCAGAGGTGACCAAGAGTTTGGAAGGAAAGAGTGAAGAAATCCAGCTAACCCAAAATGTTTATGGGGGAGGGTTGGGGTTTCGGTCAGAGGTGTCTGAAATTTTGAAGAAATGAATTGGTGACAAGCAGAACACAGCATATATAGGAGCCATTATTCTCTATTCTTCTTTATTCCTTATTTTCATCACATTACAGAGAAGAACTGCTCGGTCAATCCTTGATAAACAAATTGTGAACGGCAAAAAAGAAGATGAATAAATCAAAGAGAAACTACAATGACAATCAGTAAGTTAAAAAAAGGACTTTATGAATATCTTCATTTATCTGATATTTGCCCTCATTTCCTCAGAGTGCAAACATCTGCGTGTACCTATTGATGATTTGGTACTTTAAAGCTCTTGTGGGTGACTCTTAATTTGTGCCAACTTTGGCGCCCCCTTTCATACAAATGAAGTCATTGCTTATCTTGCCTTTCCGTTTTAAAAACAAAAAAAAAGCGCTTGTTTGAGGCCTTCCTGTTGCAGCCTACGTGTTTGCAAAGTTACTACTGTAGACTTTTACAGATCAGCATGAAGAGGCGATCAGTTCTCTACATCGTCAATATTTTGGCCAAGTGCAATTCTGTCCAATAGGAGGCGCCGCCACATCATAACCTAGACGCTCAATTATGGGACGACCACTGTGAGCCAACAGACAGGAAAGCCTACAGAAATATAGAAATAGAGTGTATAGATCCATCAGTGAAGCGATGACAGTAACCCTGCAGCCTCACTAACACTCTGTACCGACACACTGAGAGAATAAACAAAGAGCAGGACGATGGTTTCAGTGTTTATGTGAACAGCAGGAGCGTCGCTCTAATAAAACTCTGCAGACACTTCATGAATTTCTCCGCAGAGAACCAAATTAAATATCCGTCAGTCTGCTCAGGTACTTCAGGACCTCCTCAGGTGAGAGAGAGAGAGAGAGAGAGAGAGAGAGAGAGAGAGAGAGAGAGAGAGGGTCTGTATTTATTCAACCTTCAGAGTTCACTCACCTGAGATCATTTCAGAGGTTTTCCGAGTTCGGAGTGAACTGAAGTCACTGTGATGACGCTCGGCTCAAACAGCGTATCCCCCCGGTGAGCTACACAATCTTCATATGCCCATAGGCTGTATCAAGTGTCAATCATTGAAAACATGAACCCCCTAATAACTTTTAAAAATGTAGCTGTACAGAAAAAAGAGGACTTGAGCACAAACCAGTCTGACAGTAACTACATGTCAACATCACAACCAGGGGGGAGAAACATTAATATTCTGTGTCATTCATTTATAAAGTTTGTCCATAGCTCCAAAAGGAGGCGGGATTTATGACCTATACTGCAACCCGTCACCAGAGGGCGCTGTTCTCTGAGTGGCTTCCCTCAGGGAGGAGGCAGATGGCGTCTATTCTAGATACAGTCTATGGTGCTGAGCAGAGGACCCAACAGTGTTCCCCTAACATCTGTCAGAGCGGTTCTGATGACTTTAGAATTCGTAGGAAGGTTTGATGATGTCACAGATGTTCCCGGACTGTTCCAGTATGTTTCCAAAAGTCCCAAATTTTCTGAAGCGTTCCGGAATGTTATTGATCTTTTATAATGTCTTTGATGTTGCAGAATTTTACTGGTCGTTTAGAATGTCTTTGATGTTGCAGAATTTTACTGGTTGTTTAGAATGTCTTTAATCTTCTGATCTATACTGCAGCCCGTCACCAGAGGGCGCTGTTCTCAGAGTGGCCTCGCTCAGGGAGGAGGCAGACGGCGTCTATTCTAGATACAGTCTATGGTGTTCACTGTCTCAGACTCGGTCAGATCCACAGGAAGAAGGGTTCGTAGACTTTCACCCTCTGATGGCTCTGGGGGGTTGTGTTTAGCGTAAGCAGCACATGCTAACAGATCCATCCAAGCCTGAGTTCCTCTGAGAGGATAATCCTCCTCCTCCTCCTCACATCTGCTGGGCTCGGCTCCGACCCTGGATCGGCTTCCTGCTAAGCAGCTTCCCTCCTTTGACACCCGGACCTGGATCACGTTTAAAACCTAAACCTGGATCTCTCAGGAGCAGGTGTGAGCGCTGGATCAGAGCCAGGTAAGAGTGGACTCTACAGGATCCACACAGCTGATGTTGGAGCTCTGACAGGCGTAACAGATGTTTGAATACACTATAAAAAAAAACATGTAGAGCGGTTTTTAACATCTGTGATTTTTCTGTCTCTTATAAGGATTCTGGTTTTACTCTTTATAAAAGCAGAGAAATGAAAATAAATACATCTTTTATTGTGCGTGACACTCATCTTTTACTTACCTGAAGAAAACAGACTTAAAAGGGTTAGAGACTTAAAGATAAGGTAGGCAGGAATCTGTTACAGAAGCATCTTAATTGTGGTTTTTATACAAAAAATCTTCTAATATCAGTCAATAGTTATTAGTTATTGATGACATTTGGTAATATATCGATATCTCTGTGTTCTCTTATGTCTGTGTCGTCAACATTTGAACATTTTTGAGCGGTCCGCTCTTTCTGACTGTAAACAAAGCCGTTCTCCACCTCCTCTAACCTGATTGGTTGTGAGGCAGACGCTGCTCCCCCGTGTCGTTCAGGAGCCCAAACAAAGTTAGCGTGCTACAATATCGGACAGTAGAAACCAACCAGAAAGTTCGGAAAATTGTCTGAATCCTCCTTTGGCCACGACTGCCGACACAAGCAAGAAAACAAAGTAAATACCGGAGACTCTGGAGGAATAACGGGCGCTTAAAACGGAGGTAGACCGGACAAGAGCTAAAAAGCCGGGTCAACATAAACCATGGGGGACGCTTGGGGATCTTGGTGACCCTGTAACCTTTCTGCTGGACAGGTAAACCGCTTTAACAAAGTAAGACAAGTGTCTGTAACAGAAGTGTTTCTTGTCAAACGGACCTGCTGTAGCGTGTTGTAGCGCCATCGCTAAACTGTCCTCCCTCGGGTCCTGGACTATGTCACTTTATCCTCGTTGTAGAAGTCCTGCAAACATTGTGTTTGCTGGTAGTCTGTTGGCATCTACAGTAGCACCAATGCTTTTGACTTTCACCTTGACTGGGCCCCATTTGTAATGATCTGAAGTATTTATCTGCATTATATCTGAATTTAACTGGAACGATACGAGCGAGCAGGAGCGTCTGTTTGTGGGCGGGGCTTGAGGGGAGGGGAGGAGCTGAGGGGAAAACAGGTTGGAGGGGTAGAGTTTACATTCAAGATTAACTCAGATCCTGACTACAACATTAAATGTGTCAAATTCCTCCGGCTTCTTTCCGGCCCCCTGCGGTTCAGCGGGCTTCGTAGCCGCTCGTCAGGGTTGGACAGGAAGTCAGGCACAGACTCAAAATAAAACATCCTGCTTCTTTTCAAAATAAAACTCTCTGTGTTTCAGGAGGATCGTATTTCACACCATGCAAACGGGTGGAGACGAACAAGTGAAAGGTTTTTAGAGACAACTTGTTATCGTGCGATTGCATGTGAATTTGCAGGTTTGAGTCCTGGTAATCCTCACTGTCCGAAATTCGCCACAAAATTCGCCTCAAAAACACAGCTAATGGGATTTGGCGGACGGTGAAAATCGCAGCCGATGCGCAGCAGTGGAAATTGGGGGTAAGTTGACTTTGTGTGCACAATGAGTGGACTTCTTCTTCTTCTCTGTTTGCCGTGCCGATCCTTAACCGCTGTAACTCTGCAGATTTATGAATAAAAGTCAATATTATCTAAAATGAAATCTAAACGGACTAAAAACCTTTTAGATGATGAAAATATGGAGGAAAAGAAAGATCGTGAGGAGGGGAGCTGTGAAACAGTGTGTGGAGGTAGATCAGTGAAGTTTGGGTTTGTTTTGGTCCTTCAGGGTCTCCCACAGACAGGTCTAAAACTTCTCTGATTTAAGTTCTTCCAGCAGCGGCTCCTCCACTCTGCGGAGCTTTTATTAGCCAGGTACCTCCAAACATGGCCTCTATATTTCCCCGAGGGGGGGCAGGTGATCTACAGTCACTGCATAATTGATCTGAAAGTCAGGACATGTCTGAGAACAGGACCACCTCTGAGGAGCGCTATAAATAATCATGTAGCTCCTTCTGTACGGCTTTAATCAAACCATCAGATCTTTATCGTCCCTGGAGGCTCGATCTGATTTACAGCCCAGGACAAAAACACAAACACAACATACAGGAGACACGGGACATTAATCACAGACCTGGAGCTGAATGGAGAACAAGAGCAGAGTCGGAGGAGAGGGAGCAGGTGGAGGTGTGAACGCAGCACTGAGCATGCTCTGTGACGGTGGCTGATGAAACAGACGTACGGTCAGTTTTCAGCTTCTCCTTCATCAAACATTCAGAGTTTTCAGTTTTCTGATAAAAGAGGAGAGAAACGTTTATAACTTCATTAACAGACGCAGAGATGGAGGGATGATTCTGTCGTCTCGCTAATGTTCACCTCGATTACTTTCTCAGCTTATCAGACACACCGATTATTTCATTTCCCTCCTCTCAGCGTGAAACGATCAAAACAATCAATGAAGAAACAGTGATTTGATTTTTCTCCAACGTGAACGGATGTTAGAAAAGGACACACACACACACACACACACACACACACACACCTGAGTGATAAATGACTCGTCGTAAAGGGCTGCAGTGGAGCTCCATGACTTTCCACAAAGACGAATGAACTGATAATGACGTTCACTCCTTCTTCTCCGCGGCCGCTTCGCCTTCTTAAAGAGCGTCATCATGAAACCGTCACTCAGGATCCACACGCCTCTAATGATTGGGGGTCTGATCCGAGCGTTCATCTCGTCCATCGAACTCCTTCATCACTCAGTTCGTTTACAGTCACAGTTTAATTGGACTAAACTCAGAATTCGTCTATTTCTCTGAATCCGACTTCTCTCCTCGTCCTCGTTTCCATGCAGCTGAGAAAACTGAATTATTGACGTGAACGTGTCCTCCTCCCCAACACTAGGGGGCGATATGTGTCTTTTCAGCTGCGCTGTTTCTGACCCCATCCAACCGTCAACAACAACAGCAGGTCGGTGTCAGACGTCAGAAGTGTCTACAACTGCTGCTGGGCATTTTGGAGAAACAAGAAGATGGAGCATCGTACAGCGTTGTTTTTGTCCGACATGATGGACGCGCTACTTTTTCTAAAGAGGAGACCAACGCTACTCCTCTACTCTGGTGGTTTTGTTACGGGGTTACGAGGGCGTGGCGCACATGCATTGTCCGATCATACTCCGACTACGCTGGTTACATGGTAGAGAAAATCAAATTCCAATCACATTATCCGGGTGTCTTAATCGCAGTTCTCCGACTCAGGTTATCGTCGGACTAATGCGCTTCAGTTGTCTGGTCTTAATCGGTATAAGCCATCCATCCGTCCATTTTCTACCGCTTATTCCCGTTGGAGGTCGCAGGGGGGGCGGAGCCTATCCCAGCATCTCCGGGCGAAGGCAGGGGACACCCTGGACAAGTCGCCAGTTCTTCGCAGGGCCGACATACAAAGACAAACAATCATCCACGCTCACATTCACACCTACGGGCAATTTGAAAGTGGCCAGTTAACCTAACCCCACTTCTGTATGTTTTTAGGATGTGGGCGGAAACCGGAGTAAACCCTCGCAGACACGGGGAGAACATACAAACGCCCTGATCCGGATTCGAACCCAGGACCTTCTTGCTGTGAGGCGACAATGCTAACCACTACACCACTGTGCCGCCCAAAGCATCACTCATACATGGAAAAAAATCAAAAATATTTAATATATATTTTTTTCTGATTGCTCTTGGGGGCCCCCTACTGTCCACGGGGCCCTCAGCAGGTGCTTAGTTGGCTCCTGCCTTGGTCCGGCTCTGATCTGGACTGAGTTTAGACGGTTATAGACAGATTTTTAAGATGTCGCTGTGAGCAGGATCCTCTCTGTGTGAGTTTATAGATTTACTGTGGAAATCAGTCAGCAGAAACTCCAGAGTGGGTCACAGTCAGCTGATGGTCCATTGTCCTTCACCGTCGGGACATTATCGCTTTAAAGTTCACTTTGAGTTGATCTTCATTAAAGTTACAGCTTTTCTCTCTCTCTGACCTTTCTTTTTTCCCACAAACCCTCGTGTCAGTGTCTCCATCTGAAGCTCCGTCTCGCTCTAAACGTCTTCAGCTCCTCTTCTCACCGAGGTCCTTGTCAGATCGAACGGTGAAATAATCCGTCTCCTTCAGATTTCAGCCTTGTTTGCTCTTTGACATCCATTTTTGAAAAGCTGTCATCTTCAGAGTCTCCTGACCTGCATTTGCATCCAGATAAACAACCAGATCCAATCCCATCAAGATCCTGCGTGGACGCCTCTCCGCTGCGTACACACTCGTCTGCCTAAACGATGTGGACGGCGTGTTCCCCCTCCTCACCGCTCGTTTATTTTTAGACGGCCAAACCAGACAATGTATTGATATTTGGAGTCCTAAGCTGGGCAGAGGAGTGACATGTTTTAAATTGGCTGCAGAGGAGTGACAAAATGACAGAGGAGCGAAAACAGACGGAGGGAAAACGGCGTTTTTGACACGCTTGAGTAAACGGGGATTTGAGAGTCAGACAGAGCGCAGACTGTCAGGAGGACCAGACCGATCCATCACAACCAGAGAGAGATGAGATATTCCTTTAATAGTCCCACAGAGGGAAACTCCTAAATTACAGCATAAATAAATAAAGAGAAATTAACGGATAAAGAAACTTAGAGTCTAAAAAGAGGGTCTGGTTTTACGGTTTTTAACGGATCATTCAGATTTAGAGAGGAAAGAAGAGAGTCGAGGCCGTTTATGAATTCTCCTCCTATCCTAGCAGTTCGTACTGATTTACCCAAAATGTAGTATCCAGTCTGCAGTAGGTGAACAAATGCAAAATTTGCAGTATGTCAATAATATCAGGATGATGTACTGATTCAGGAAAATGTCACAGTATCCATCAAACCAGTCTGCTTTAGTGATGGTCAAGGCAGTTCTTTTAAATGTACTGAATCACCAGAATCAGTTCACTTAAAAGATTCGTTCAAAAGATTCGTTCAGCCTGTGACAATTCAGTTTTCTCTGAGGTACACTTGAACACAGCACACCCCTATCTCGCTAAGTTGCGCCGGACAAGATCGCTACAGCTGGTGACTCTCACTCTCTTCACATGACTGCCAGCCTAACAGTTGAAGTTTGTTTGATTGGGAACTAAAACTGTTAAAACATCAGGGAACAACGGCCGCCATGAAAGTCTATCCCAGATGAAAATAATCCTGGAAAGTGAAGTTCACTCAGTGATTCGCTCACCAAGTGATTCAGGCCTTGGCGTGTGCGGGCCCTCGCTCGCCGGCTGCTTGCCCAGCAATGCTGCGTGTCATGGCAGCTCAACTGAACTTAGAAATAAACAAACACTTGAAGAAGTAAAGAGGAGGAAATCTACTTCTAGACTCAAGCATCTTCTAGAATCAGCATCTCCCCATCCATGGTGATACACCATGAGGTACACTAACTTACTCAGGATTTCCACCGCATCCAGAACAGCTCCGATCTGTGATCAGCTGAGGAGTCCGGCGATCCGCAGAGGAACGGAAAGAAGTCGGTGTAAATCGACACGTTAACTTGAATGGTTACGATCAGCTACGATCGGAGGATACGACCTTTTAGGAGACGATCAGGATGAAGGTGGATATCGGGGGGGATATCACTTGTCCGTGAACTGTCCTGAGGTCTGATGGATCAAAATCTATCACTCTTTTGGAAAGAACAACTGGACTTACTTGAGATGTTTCACCTAAGGCAAAACGTCTCAAGTAAGTAAAGTTGTCCTTTCAACGAAGATTCAGAAATCCTAGATGCTGCATCCTCAGTTTTAAAGAGTCGAGGGTCCGCTTGGCTTGTTTGAGGTCAGTATTCAGAGGCTTTTCCTTTCAGCTGATTTAAGTCTTATGTGATTTTCAAATCTCTTTTGGGGAAAATCGTCCCGACTTTAAGACGTTCAGGATGAAGGTGGAAATCGCCAGTCAGTCAGCAGACAAGACGGTATTTAAAATAAACTGACAGGAGTTTGGATCAGAGGGTTTTTACTGGAGTTGTCAAACTATCAAAGGGACATAAGTTAACACGTTTAGTGAGGATCTTTCATTTCAGCGAAACGAGGATAACATAACTGACAACAGAACTTTGCTGTATTTACAGCGCTGTGATGAGAATCAAACGACGCCAGAGTCGAGAGACAGAACACGTTTTGATGGTATTGGACTAAAAAATCCAGAAAAATTCAAATTAAAACACATAAAAGATTTTTTTCAGAGTGTAAATGAACGTAAAACTCTGTAGTGTCGTAATTTACCAGAGTACGATGGACTTTGTCAAACTGGAAACCAGTTAAACCAGGACAACCAAACTACAGGATAACAGCCGACTTACTGTCATACTGTATACTACTATCAAACACAGTACTCAGTATGAAGTATCTACTGTATACTGCGGTCGGCAGGAGTATGAAGGCCCTGACTCTCTGACGTTAGCATGACTCCCAGCAGCTGATCTGTAGTCCGCGCTCGTGGACCTCCTCTCGGATTAAAAACCTGTATTCAGGACTCGGTGCTGCACAGATTTGCTCTGGGCTGTTTTTCTGTAACCTGACCCGACACCCGCAGTTCTCTGTAGAAACTGTAAAAACCTGTTTCCCCTGTCGCAGGTCTTCACACTCTGCTGGAGAAAATTCATTGAGGTGTAATTTCAGGCTTGATCCAGAACCGAACCACGAGGACAGCGGCGTTCTTGGCTGATTTTTTCCTGGAGAGATATTTTTCCTGGACGGCGCTCAGCGTGTTTTACAGCCAGCAGTGACAAGGTGACTTTGTGGCTCTGAATGGGAATCAGACACCTGACCGTGGATAAGAGTTTGAAGCAGAACCTCCTGTATCCGCGCTCGCACTCCTCCTCCTCCTCCATCAGGGTGTGTGAAATGACCTGAAATACAAACCAGGTCCTGAAGCGGAGCCTGTCCCGCTTCTCTCCGCCGTGTCCTGGTCTCAGCTGGATTTTTCATTACATGCTTTTTATCAGTGTGCACGTGTTGTTATTCAGAGCATGAAGCGGCGGCGGCGGTGGCGGCGGAGACAGACCCCGCTGTCGTTCCTCTCATGGCTGATGTGACTCTGAGGAGGCGCTCAGGATCCTAAAGCACGGGTTGATTACGGCTCTCTAACGAAGGTCGGCCCCTGTGATGGCGAGTCACTGAGCTGGACTCGTCCTAGTGTGTTTGTTTTTGGTTTCAGGCCCACCAGCAGTCGTCCCCCCGCCCCCCTCGCCACCCTCGCCCCCCGCCATATTCATCAGCCGTTAAATTGCCTCACACGGAAAGTGAAATTGTCTGTGTAATGTAATCAATTAAGAGATGCAGTTTGGGAAGAGGAATAAAAATGAGTGTTCACACCGAGGCTGTTCCACTCAGACTCACTCCCTCCCTCCTCTGTCCGTGTGTGTGTGTGTGTGTGTGTGTGTGTATGTGTGTGTGTCTTTTTCTATGAAGTACAGTAAATCTGTCAAACTGACCAATAATCCTTAAAGAGACTCTAATCTGAGGTCTACCTGTTCTCAAAGACGTCACCTCCACCTGTCTGTCTGTGGACTTCCTGTAAAATACACGTGTGTGATGTCAACAGGTGGGTTTAATCCTTAATCTGATGTAAACAGATAATCTTAATCTGTATTATAACTAAACAGATGAGTTTATTCCTCAATCATTTATCCAGACACATAAATTTATTCTTTAATCTAATCCAGGTGAGTTTAATCCTTAATCTGAGACAAACAGGTGGGTTTAAATCTTAATCTGATGTAAACAGGTAATCTAATCAGACAGGTGAGTTTAATCCTTAATCTAATCCAGTTGAGTTTAATCTTTAAACTAATCTAGGTGAGTTTAATCCTTAATCTAATCCAGTTGAGTATAATCTTTAACCTAATCTAGGTGAGTTTAATCCTTAATCTAATCTAGTTATTCTTAATCCGTAATCCAAACAGGTCAGTTTGTTCACTCGTCCAGACTGTTTTTGTTCTAATCTATAAACGAGTTCATTTCTGCCGTCTTTAACATGGGGACTGACTCACAGCAGGACACAGCCTCTAGTGGACACTGAAGGAACTGCACCCACTAGGGTCAGTGTATCTGAATTTTAATCAGATTGAAATTAGTGTAAAACTTAATCTGTATTATTATTTCAGACTTTCACACACATGTAACTGCTCTCTGAAACTTTTTTTACACGATTAAAGTTTATGATTTTCTCTTTTCTTTTAAACTAAATAACTAAACTAACTAAATACTCCTAACGCACAGAGCGTTAATTCATCCCATTGCTACAGCAGATTAATCCCAGATTATCGGCCTCAGCCCACAGACAGTGACATTCATACGGAGCTCTATGAAAAGGTCGGTGTTTTCAGAGTTAGTGTTGGACTGAAGCTGCAGCAGCAGAAACTGTATTTCTCATCAGTAATTATATATTATCATACAGACGGGCTCTTTGATTTGATCAGAGACGGCAGACACCCCCCCACACACACACACATGCACACACACATGCACACACACACACACACACACACACTCACCCCGATACAGCGGTCAGATTACCTCGAGTCAGTAATTCCACTCGGATAATTCTCTCATTATCATGAAGCCAGAAGGAAACTCACCTCTGAGGACATTTTGCATCGAAGCAGCCAAATAAAATACATATCAGCGGGTAGATTTAGCATTCGCCTCCGCTCGGAATAAACGACCACTGAGACAAATGCCATGTTTACTGGGCCGCCGTGTGGACGACGACCGCCTGCAGGAGCCCGTCTCCAGCCCGCGTCCGCTCTGCGATACATATTTATGCAGATTCCTCCAGCTGCACAGAATATTATCCATGACATTAGTGTGAATGACTCCTCTGTTCTGCATGCAGATGCAAGTTTTGAGTAAATGTCAAAGCGGCCTCTGCTGTTGTGTAATCCCCTTTAATCGCTGCGTAATGACCCAATTAGTTCAGTTTGACTTCCATCGATGTTCGAGTCGACGGCGTCCTCTGACACTTCCTGTTTTGGGTTTAATAGGGAGACTAATGGGTTTCTCTGGCTGTGGTGATGCAAACATGACTTCAGGAGACATTGAAATTCTTGTGTTGTAATATAATAATTTATAAATGCATATACAGCCGGCTGTGATCTGAATATGGATGTTTTACCTCACGGCGGCTTTATTATTTCCTGGACATCCACAAACACTCGAGGTCTCCTGAATACTAATCCAAGATTTTCTCTGTTCGTTTGTTTTCCTGCAATTTAAACAGATCTACTTTTTTTCCTATAAAACTAAAAATATCACCTGAAAACAAACCAACTCAACCCTGAAGTACACGAACTTACCCAGGGTTTACACCGCAGCGATCTGGAACGGCAGCCATTTTTGCCGTACGCCAATTCCTACTGGATCTGTTTCTGAGGTGAATTTCGTGGTGGATTATGGACAGCAGGAACCATGAGTCCATGTTGTCTGTGAAGACTCCGTTAATGCTGAACAATATCTGCAGGTTTAGGAGCATCAGGACTCTGTAGTTGGAGTCACCGCCTCATAAGGTTAATATCACCTCTCCGTGAACCGTCCTGAGGTGGTCCTCACAGACCTTGACTATGAGGATGTCATGAGTCTGCTCTCCGACAACGTGGAACAAGCACAAGAACTACTGAACAGGGTAGAGCTAGAGTGCGCCAAGGTTGGCCTAAATGCCAAGAAAACTGAGATCATCACCTACAACGTTCCACCAGAGCATCAACCTCTGACTACAGAAGGGGGCGCTGTGCTGAAAGAAGTCGAGGACTTCCTGGGCTCAGGGGTCAACTCAACTGAACAAGATCTAAACGTGAGGAAGGCACTTGCATGGAGAGCCCTGAACGGTATGACCGGTGTATGGAACTCCAACCTCCCCCGCCAAATCAAACTCAGACAGTAGAGTCCGTTCTCCTCTATGGCAGTGAACGCTGGACCCTGAAGACAACCCTGGAGAAATCCCTAGATGGGTGCTACACCAGGATGTTGCGTGCAGCGCTTAACATCAGCAAGAACACACATGTGACCAACAGAACACTGTACGAGGGAATACCAAGGGTGAGCGAGAAGATCGCTGTAAGGAGAATGAGACGAGCAGGACACCGCCAAAGGCATCGGGAACTGTGGGAACCAACACACGGTCAGCGGTCAAGAGGACGTCCTACACTAACATACTTGGACATACTCAAGAAGGACGCAGGAGCTCAGAGGACCAACGAACTGGTGAGATGTATGGAGAATCGGGATGACTGGAAGTGAAGATGGAAGGCTCTTCTGAGGACGACCTAGAGAGAGAGAGAGAGAGAGAGAGAGAGAGAGAGAGACAGAGAGAGAGAGAGAGAGTCCTGAGGTCTGATGGATCAAAATCTAACACTCTTTTGGAAAGGACTGGAAATCATAGATGCTGCATCCTTAGTTTTAAACAACATCTCTAGGTTTAGGAGCAACATCTGCGTCCATCCGGACAAAGATATATGTATGTAGGAAGTTGAATAAAATCGGTCCTTGAACCGAGACATGAGTTTGGTCTTGGACTCTAAAATCCGTCGAGAACTGCCTCAAAATTTCAAAACTTGACAGAAATAAACTCCTCCTGATCTGTAATTTGTCTTCTCAGTTTTCGCGGTCAAAGTTTTTGGAGGTGGTCGAACCCGCGTTCGTAATAACCTGATTATGTCAGGAGTGATCAGAGGCGGCGTGGAGGGAAGTGCGGTGTGTGTTTGAGAGCAGATGGAGGCTGATGGAGAGGATTAGTACAAATTAGTGAGAGGCTGTTCGCTGTAAATGCATGAAAATATATCAAACAAATGGGAAGCAGGTGAAAGTATTAGAGTGTGTGTGTGTGTGTGTGTGTGTGTGTGTGTGTGTGTGTGTGTGTGTGTGTGTGTGTGTGTGAATGAATGAGATCTGGGTCAGGGGAGAGCAGATGATGTATTAACTGAAAGAGGAAGTGCATCTGCCTCTTCTGCAGCTCTGGGCCTCAAACACACCTCAAAGGTAGACGCCAGTGAACGCACCATCTGCCAGGCTCCTTCAAAATAAAAGCCTGGAACGTCAAACGACAGAGGAGCGTTTTACCCTCCAGTCGACGGTGTTTGCAGGTTTTTGCAGGAGTTGTTTTTTTCCGATGAGTGTTCGGATGTTGAGGTGATAAACGGAGTCTTGAGTATTTATGAACTTCTTCCTCTCAGACACGTTTCATTGGAAGCAGACGAGGCTGATTTATCACTACAGAGCGTGTTGAACACGGTGCTAAATCAGGAGGTAATCAGAGCGTGTCCTCTCAGCATCCATGAAGACGGTGAATAACAATGAGCTCAGCGTCTGTTAATATCGCAGCAGAAACGCACCGAGAGACGGATTCATTCAGGATCATTTACAGACAAACAAAAACTGAAAGTACAAAAAATAAAACACATAAAATGATGAACATGATCTCATCAGGGTACGGAGCTTTAGAGGCGGTCTGAAACCCTAATCCACCCTCTGCTGGTTCAGGTCTTATCAGACCTCTGTCCAAAGGTGTCCCTCAGGGTTCAGTCCTCGGTCCTCTCTCATTCATGCTCTCCCTGCTCATGTGTTTGATTCCCTCTGCAGATATATGAAGTGTGTGTTTCCGCTGTGGTTCATGGCATTTTTAATGATAAAACAGAACGACTGATTTTTATTATTACTGTTTTCTTTTTTTTTTCAGAGTAGAGACGATCAATTCTACATCATCAGACAAGAGAGGATGTTTACCTGTCGGAGAATAATTCATGTTTGAACAAATTAAAGGGTTAAAAAAAAAGAAAGAAAAAACAGATACAGAAAAAGAAAAGATTTAGTTAAAAGGATGAAATGAAAAAAAGGAAAAAAAAAAGAGAAAAATCCACAAAAACAAACAGGTAAAAAAACAGACTGACACACAATAAACCGACAAAGACAGAGAGGAGGACAGGGACTATAGACACACACAGGTAAACGAGACACAGGTGAGACAGATGAGACAAATGAGACAGACAAGACACATGTAAACCAAATGAGACACAGGTGAGACAAATAAGACACTGGTAAGACAAACAAGACAAACGAGCAACAGATGAGACAGATGAGACACAGGTGAGACAAACGGGACACAGGTGAGACAAACGAGACACAGGTGAGACGGACGAGACAAACGAGACACAGGTGAGACAAGCAACACAAAGGTGAGACAGATGAGACACAGGTGAGACAAACGGGACACAGGTGAGACGGACGAGACAAACGAGACACAGGTGAGACAAACACCTGTTGGGGTTACCCCCCGGTGTTTCTGGAGAGGTAAAATGGCGGGTTATGCTGCAGGAAGTCAGAGGCGGCTGAAGTTTAGAGTAGAGATGGGTCGAAGGTTGGGTAGGGGGGATAGGGAGGTCCTACAGAGGCCAGGTTAGAGAGTCCTCTCTGAGATCAGCACCTCCTGGTCTATAAAAACCTGTACAGATCAGAGAGTCCTCTCTATCCTGGTCAAATTAACAAACATGTCACGACAGAAATTCTCCAATATACTTAAAAAAAAGACATAAAGCCACCTGCAGCAGGATCTCATCCTCGACCCAGAGAACCATGGACTCAGATTTGAAGCCAACGAGACCACATCACCTGTGACCCAATCCTGAGACCACCGAACCGGACCCCCTGAGTCAGAAACATAATAATAAAAACCTACTTAGACCATAAACCATCGTAGGAGAGTGTAGATCTAGATCTGATCTGCAGGTTTGACTGAACGCAGACAGCTGCATAGATACGAACACACTAGAGTGTATTTCTACATCACAGCAGCAGCAGCACATGGTTCTTCTGTTGTCCCCTTATCGGTTCACCTTCCTCTGAGACTCTCCGCCTTCACTCAGACCTGTGATCTGATCTCGTCTCTCTCCGACTTCAGGAATATTTCTCCGTCTTCCTGATTAGAAACGACTCGATGTGTTTTTGCTACAGAGAGCCAAAGACACTCAGACGCTGAATGAGAGCGGGGATAAACGATCAATAAGTCATTGAATCATGCTCAATCTTTCTTTTCTTTCAGACTGAAGGCTGTGACAACAGACGCACCCACAGGTCTATAAATGATGGACCATAATGCACTGGGGTGTGATAAAATCAGTCTGCAGGCTGTGTTCGAGCCACCATTAAGTCTGAGCCGTCCCTGGTCCAGAAAGAAAACCGAATCAATCATAGAAAGTAAAAAAATAAAAACAGGTATTTGTCTGAATTTAACCTCCTGTGAAACACGAACATCAGCTGATAGTTTTCTGTTTTCACTTCCTGCAGATTCAACGATTTCACACAGTTCAACTTTATTAGAGGATCAATTATTTCACACCCTGACAGACCTCATAGGTGTCTGTTTTCACGTCTGTTCTTATGCTGACGTTCAGATCTCTGTCTGTCCGTCTGCTGTGCCCTCACGTCTCGGACTGCAATCTGATTATTTAATTATGACGATGTTAAAAAAGTTAAAATCCTTAAATCAATTTTCCTCTCTATCTTGTCTCGCGCCTCCAGGCCACCGTAGGCTCCTCCCCCTTCCTCCCGCAGTGTAAACAAACATGGCGTTTGCAGAAGAAGGCGATAATTTCGTGGTTAAATCGGACAAGAGCGAGTCAGTCGTGTTGAATTGGTACGACTTCACAGTTTCAGATGAAGAGTAAACCACTCCCCGCTGTAAAGTCTGTCTGAAGGCGGGATCAACCCGTCACCATGGAAACTAATTCAGGAGGAAACACTTAAGTTTTTGTCGTATCGGCGTTTCAGGTGACTGTAAACGGTACTTTTTGAAAACAGGGGGATGTCTATCTGCATCTCTGGAAACGATCATGTGACACTCAGAGGAACTCTTTTATGGTGCATTTCCTGTGCAGTGTTACAGCACCACTTACTGGCTTGGCATATGAACTACATTGTTTTCAGTGGTTTAGTTTTGAGAGAGGATAGAAAAACTTTTTATTTAAGTGAAGTTTGGTGAAGTTAAAACTAAATCAAAAATCAAAAATTCAGAGAAAAATTCGGGATTTTATTTTTGGCCAAAATGGTGCCACCTTAATTGCAGCATGTTACCCCCAATTTTCACCTTCATCCTGATCGTCTCCTAAAAGGTCGTATCCTCCGATCGTAGCTGATCGTAACCATTCAAGTTAACGTGTCAATTTACACCGACTTCTTTCCGTTCCTCTGCCGATCGCCGGACTCCTCAGCTGATCACAAGATTTCTATTTTTTCTGGACGCCGGAGCATGGCGGATAAATTCAGCACAGATTAACCCGTGCTGGAAAGGAAGTCGGGCACAGACACAAAATAAACATCCGGCTTCTTTTCAAAATAAAACACTCTGTGTTTCAGGAGGATCGTATTTCACACCATGCAAACGGGCGGAGACGAACAAGTGAAAGGTTTTTAGACGTCATTTCACCCCGATGACACCATGGATGAGGAGATGCTGATTCTAGAAGTCTAGAAGTAGATTTCCTCCTCTGGAAGGACACAATCTACTGCTTATATGTCTATGTGTCTGTCTTTAGAGAGACAACTCGTTATCGAGCGATTGAACGTGAATCTGAGGGTTCTTGTGAGTTCTCGCGATTATCACAAATCCTCACAAACGGAATTGGTGAACGGTGAAAATCGCTGCCGTTCTGGATCACAGCAGGATAACTCTGACATGCTGGTGTGTTTTAAATGAACATGAAAATAAAAGGACGGAGTCAGTTTGAGGATTTCAGATATTTACCTGCATCACAGAACGATCTGGTTCCTCATATTTGAGGATTTCTGACCTTAAGATTTCTTAACGTTCACGTTTAAAAGCATCAGAGTTCAGCCAACAGGTCGACACTTCAGGAAACACCCTGAAGACGTATTAGATCGTAGGATCCGCCCACAGACGCGCCGCCAACAAACTGCCCGTCGTAATGAGAGAGGTGTGTCTGCAGAGATCATTCAACGCAAACTGATAATAACTGAAGACAGAGAGAGTTCTCATCCCGCTCAGATACATCAGGAGATCATCACACGGCTCGTATTTAAAGGCCCTCAGTCATTTTCTCTCTGTATGTCGATGAACCTCAGCAGATGGATGTGAAACAGGTGAGTGTTGTAAAGGCACCTTCTCTTTCATCCCGAGCTCACTGACCTTTGTCTTCACAGAGGTTTTTTTTTTTCACACTCATAAACAAATACCCTTCATCAGAGGGAACAATTGTCCCCTCAGCGTGTGATTTTTCATCGCACAAAGAACAATTAACGGTGTGCCAGAGCAGCAGAAAGCTGGCAGGCTGTGGTGCTGATCCTGCCAGCTGCGTGGGAGGCAGTCACTGAATGCATCACCGTCTTTAGAGGAGTCCTTGAACAGACAGACGCAAATATCAGCCGGACATGAAAACATGGCCGACGCGCTCGCATTCATTACAGCAGCATTGGTGTTTTTTTTCAGAGGTTATTAATGCTGAGTAGGATGGATTATATTTCATCATCCTGCTGTTGGTCATTAAAATCAATTCACAGAAACAATCTGTGCAGAAGACAGGCTCATCAATTTTTAACGAGGTTTTTAAATGAACAATTATATCTAATATTACAGAAAGGTACTGTACTGTTACTGTAATATTAAAATAAATCTATTAAAAAAACATCACAGTAAAATACTGTACTGTTACTGTAATATTAAAATATATCTATTAAAAAAACATCACAGTAAAATACTGTACTGTTACTGTAGTATTAAGATATACCTAATATTACAGTAAATTATTGTAGTTACTGTAGGATTTAAAAACATCGAATAACGTTACAGTAAATTACCATAGCATCTTCTGTAGGAGTAAAATATATAATATATAATTACAGTAAATTACCGTACCATTACTGTAGGATTAAACTTATCTAATATCATTACAGTAAATTACCGTACTGTTTCTGTATGATTAAAATATTTAATATTATTACAGTAATTTATCGCATTATTACTGCTGGATAAAAATATATCTAATATCGATACAGTAAATTATGTTATAGTTACTGTAGAATTAAAATATATCTAATATCATGACAGAAAAGTACTGTACTGTTACAGTAGGATTAAGATATATCTAATATCACTGCAGTACATGACCGTACTGTTACTGTAGTATTAGAATATATCTAATATCATTACAGTTAATTACCGAACTGTTGCTCTAGGATTTAAATGTATCCAACAAGTTAACCTTACAGTATATTACCGTACTGTTGCTGTAGCTTTAAAATATATCTATTAAAAAACATCACAGTAAAATACTGTACTGTTACTGTAAGGTTAAAAAATATCTTACAAGTTAACATTACAGTAAATAACTGTACTGTTGCTGAAGGGTTCAGATATATCTAATATCATTACAGTAAATTACCGTATTGTTGCAGAAGTATTTAAATATAAAGTATTTACAATACCTACTTATAAATAACCAATGTGAAATATTTCTTCAAAAGTCAGTTTTCCTCAGATTATTGTTTTTCTAGATAAACGACATCGACTGAGGTGTGTGTGTGTGTGTGTGTGTGTGTGTGTGTGTGTGTGTGTGTGTGTGTGTGTGTGATGATGGATCAGTGGGTCCACACTGAGCGAAGCAGCGTCTGATTCTTCTGCTCAGATGTGACACTGAAATAATGTGAGAGCCATCAGAGTAATGAGGTGACCCGACCTTCTTCCTCTCCCCATTATCTCCTCCTCCTCCTCCTCCCCCAACAAACACACTGTCACCCTCAGCTGTCACTATTTGTTCTTCCTCACCCTCTCTGTCCGACCTCTCACCCTCGGCTTGATTCAGGATTAATCGTTGATTTCCGTCTGACCTGCAGAGCGTAATTGATTTCTGCTCTATTTTTATTTCATCTTCAGAGTGAATCTCAGCAGGAAACCTCTCTGACCGGATATTTACATATTTATATATATTTATAATATATATTTATATTTACGATTAAGGCACAAAACTTCGTCAGGACAATTAACTTTTGTTTTCATGCTTCAGCCAAGCGGCAACTTCATGTGCTGAGGAATTAAACCAATGTTACCATTTCAAAGCCTGCAGTACCTCAAGTGTCCACTAGAGCCTAGGTCTTGCAGTGAATAATCCTCATAGAGCTTCATGTTAAAATGTCCAATTTGACAGCAGATTAAGGTTTAAGGGTTAAATAAACCTTTAGACGTTAAACTGAGAGTAAACTTCACTGTTAATATCAGATTATGGGTTAACCCGCCGTCGATCCCACGTGACACCATCACTATTGTTTACAGTTTCTCAGGAACTATACCGTGTATCTCTACGGGATAAAAAGTGTTCAATAGTTTACCCTTTTGACGATCTATCGAGAGTTTCCAGACATTTCTACACCTGCTACAAGGTTTACAATCCAGCCACAAAAACAGCTGTTTGATCAGAGACGTTTGATAGTGATATACCGGTGAAAACAGGATTATTTTTCAGATCGCTATCGCTAAATGCCGCTAATGTCTTCCGGGTTTGACGAGCTGTTTTGATGACGTCTTTTTCTGTCAAACTTTCGACCAATCACATGGTCTCATATTCTTCTTCTATTGTCCCCTTGACGGTAGTGTCCAATAAGAGACGAGAAAGTTCCCTGCTTGTCTGTAAAATCAGAAATAATGGTCCTCAATGTTTGGAAACAAGCGAAGAAGAGATTCTGAGCAGTATGATGTGGTCCTCTGTCTCATCCCAGAAACAACTGTAAATAGTCAAAAACGCCTGAAGAATGAGTGTAAATATGTTTAAAATAGTTTCTGTTGTGTGTTTGTTCCAATCCCAATATTTCTTCTCCTGATAGACTTGAGAGGATGATGTTCAGGTGAGGAAAGGCTTGGTCACTGTAGATTTATGTGTTTTTGGAGCAAAGTTCTGTTGGGATCAGTTTCTGTTTTTGTGTTTTGGTTGACTTTGATGGTTCTGAATCTACTGTCACTTTTATTTTACATCATTTTTGCTCCATAAACTGAATCTGAGGTTGTCCTGAAAATAAAGACGTGTTTATATTCGCTGTGATTGAAAGAAAAGAGTTTTGTTGTTTTAATGTTGCTTGAACGTGTGTTGTGCTGCTTGAACACGTCCTACTGAAGTGTTTTTGCGCTCTAGTGTGAGTTGTTTACATCGCGTTGCCATGGCAACACGTAGCCGGCTAGGCACCGAGAAACCGGAAGTTATTGAGGGCAGATTCGCGAGGTCCGTCAACTGCTCAGTTCTAAGCTCCTCTCCTCTCCTCCGTTTTCATCCCTCTAGTCCATGCAACGTCTGTAAGTGTTCATACGTTGTTGTATTGTTGTATTAAGATGAAGGTTGTTTAAGTGTAATTAAGTTGTTAAAACGGCTATGGCGCTAATCGCTAATGCTACACGAAGTTAGCTTCAAGTTTTTCGTTGCTAGCGGCATTCTAGCTCGTTTGTGATTATAACGGCTAAAGCTAATGTAGCTTAGCTCTACTGTTTGTCTGTGTGTAAGCCGTAACTCATTGTTTTATATGTTACTGAATCATTTCAGTTTCACAAGATTCCTCAGTAAACTTGAAGAGGTGAATCAACTGCGTCTGAGAGTTTATTGGGGAGTGTTTATACTGCTTGGAAGTAGCCCATGACAGTTGTTGTATTTAAAGACAAATTAGAGGTCAGAGTTGATTTCTGCACCAAAGAGCCGACACACACAGAGAGGTTCACGTTTCAGACACAGATTACAGTCGTCACACTCAGTCAGTGGTTTCCTGGTAAAATAAATAAAGGTCACATGTTTGTGTTTACATTCAGTATTTCTTGCATACTCCAGATGCATGCTGGGAAACCCTCACATTTATGTGCTCACATAGAAACCACGAGCAGTCAGACTCCCACTCATGCAGGCAGAGGTCCAGGAGCTCAGAGCTCTGGTTTCATCTCCTCAGCTGCTGACGCCGCGCTCTCATTGGCTGGCTGTGCTCTTGCATTCATGCTGCAGGTTTTTGTGTGTGAGGCGTCTGAGCAGAGCGATGCGTCCTGCGTCGTGTCGCTGGCGAGCGCAGGGAGAGCGCGCGCCAGCTGCTGTGCTGCAGAAATGACATCCCTCTCAGAGAGCGAGCAGCAGAGCGGGACTAACCGAGCTCCACGCTGTCACATCACAGGAGATCAGTGTGAGCGATGAAAACGGCCCCCGG